ATATACATGATTCAATCTGCCGAGTGATGAAGATGCACTTCCTTTGAAGATTTTGGGATTCTAAAGAAAGAAGTATTAGTATCGAGGTTCACGAAGGTCATTGTTCTGGTCTAATAACCGCGAAATTATTGTATTTTCTGCTGCAGTTCATGCTTGCGATGCCCGTGTTCTCATGAAGTGTGGACTGCCTTTTTTTGTTTTTTATAATTGTTTGTGTAACATATTTTTTTGTATGGGACAGAATATAGAATAAATAAAAAGGAAGTTCGGTTAATGCTTATGTTTCCATAAATTTGTGCAATACTACCCGTAAGAGAATTCATATTGCCACTTTTAATTGGGTTTGCAGCCCCAGTAGAATATACGTTATTATACGTTAGCAAAGAAATTTTTTTTATCTGAAAGACCCCAACAAGATGAAATTTCATCCACAGTGGAGAAGGATGCTCCTGGCTTGGGTTAGCCAAGGTCTACCCGAACCCGGAACATCGTGTGATAAACATGGCTTCAGCCTGCAAAACTCCCAAATTCTAGGCTCACTCTTTGAATGTTGTCATCTAAACTCAGGCTGTGCCCTAAGAGGACTCCAATTCTAATTGTCACGGCAACCCCAATTGGATTTGCAAACTGGACCGGCAGATAGCGAGAGATATATGGGGTGCCTGGCAGACCTGCCAAGGGCATCACAGATAGGCTCCAAATATTGAATAAGGTTCTCAATCAATCTGTTAGCCTCGAAAAAGGCCGTTCGAGGGTGGGTTGGGAGCCTTTCTTTCACATTACTTATCTCATGGATGCTAAAGGCAGCAAGCCTGATGGAAGTAGTGACCTTTTTTTTTTCTTTTACAGAGCCGAAGAGGATCTTCATTAATCCAGGAGGAAATGATACTATTCACCTGCATTTCATCATACAAAAAATCACCGAGCAGTACTGGAAGGATTACTAGGTCTAGTGGGAGAGCCATACAGATTCAACAAAGAATAAAAGTCTATTAAATACCGTATATGACGAAATTAAGTATAAGGAGTCATATTTATTTGAGCAAGAAGTGGGGATGAAAACATGTACAGTATAATCAGATATCTTACATTAATTGATCTGTTTAAATAAGTTTAGAGTATTTTATAATTGGATTTGGATAAAATTTGGATAATAAAACTATTACTTGTCATAAATTTAAGTAGTAATTATAAGATAATACCCTAATCTAATAATAAATTATAATTTTTAATATTAAAATTTTATTTTTTATATTATTTAACGTAATTTTCATTAACAATATATAAATTAATTTTAAACATATTTCTATTTCAAGTTTGGATTCAAGTTCAATTTTTTTATGAGTATTAACAATAAAATTCTTATATTAAGTATTAATTTTTAATCAAGATCAAATTTGAACATCTCGAAATCTATGAATATCCTGCCCACTATCATCCTTATGCGAAAGCAACAAGTTTGTATGTAATAAGCATGTCAAATTCATGATACAAAAAGACAGCTACCCTTAAGAATTTGCCAAAAGACATGGATTAGAAATGTTGTGCGCATTGGTTATTCATAATTCTTCCCTCGGCTGTTGGGCCCTTCATTTGTCCGAACATGCCACCATCGTGATTTGCGTCCTGCTGACTATTGCCAAATTTGAAGTGAAAAAGAAAGAACATAAAACTAGATATAGTCTATAATTGACAAAACCCTTTTGCCTTGTGGGATACTAGTGCTTTAATGATGGAAAAGTGTACAAATATTTCAATGTCGCTTAGTTCTTGTAAGAACTGAAAGGTTTTCAAGTTGGGTTTATTTTTCTACTTTTGACAACTCCACAATTATGGAACCTAATAAGTTTCTACAGTAATCTAGAAACCATACTAGTTTATAATTGACTTATAGGCTGAAAGTTCAAATAGAATAGATTATATAAGGGATTTTGTCAAGAAACAAGCAATTTACTGACGCAAAAATGGAAGTCAATCCATGGCGTTAACCAAGTCTAGATTTCTCCACCAGAGCGAAGAAAATTCCTCAAGAACATGGTTGGCAATTGGGCGTGAAGTGCCTTAAGGTGAAAAATTGAATACCAACACCTAGCCGCCTAGCTAGGATTCCACAAAGAAAACATAGGCTTATTAATATTAATTACTTTTGCCGCCAATCGTCATTGCATACGCATCAAATAAGCTTCCACGAAGGAAACGTGGCAGTTTGTTTCTGACACAGCAACCAGTCAAAACGAACAGCGATACAGGTAAAGAAAAGCACGGCGGTGACTCCCAAAAAGCTGGGTGGACAAGGGATAAAATCTTAACGCCAAACGTCCACGTTGGATTGGAAATTTATACTCACCACCAGAGTATAAACTTAGCAAGAGGTCGGCAGCAAGCTCACACCTCGAAACAGACGATACTGAGAGAGTTCGAAGGAAGAGAGATATAGAGATCAGATGGGAGGAGATAAAGGAGCTGTCTGCGTCACCGGAGGGACCGGCTTCGTCGGCTCGTGGCTGGTCAAGGTGCTTCTTGAGCAGGGTTACACTGTTCATACCACTATTAGACCTGACCCAGGTAAGATCGGAGTTTGTAAGTTTAATCAAAATTGACAACAATTTACTAATAATTATCAAGAACACATTTGTTTTTGGAAGTGTAGAAATTTTTGGACGGAGTAGTTGAGAATATTAATTAGGACTTCAGGTTGAGAAAATGTTTAACAAGTGAGCAGAGTTAGTTTTGGTATTTGGACGGATTGAAATTATTACCGGACAGAGACAAGTAGCAATCCTTGCTCTTGCTGGTTTAGTAGTTTGTGACTAGCTATTTCAGTTCCTTTTATGTCAGTTGTTGCATTTCAAGCTATTTATAAGAACCAGCAGATCAAAAACAATGGTGGATAGGATTTCCCAATATCTTAAATACGAGACCACAGAGTTCAGTCAAACTTTACTAATCGTGATTGCTGCTGAAATATGACCAGAAAACAAGAGAGACGTTAGCTTCCTCACCAGCCTTCCGGGAGCAGATGAAAGGCTTAATATCTTCAGAGCCGATCTTAGTTGTCCGGAGAGTTTCGGTGCAGCCATTGAGGGATGCAAAGGAGTTCTCCATGTTGCCTCTCCCATGGATTTCCAAAACAATGAACCTGAGGCAGTAGTGACCAAAAGGGCATTCGACGGAGCACTAGGCATCCTGAAGACATGCTTGAGATCAAAAACAGTGAAGAGGGTTGTGTTCACTTCTAGTATTGCCTCAGTGTATTTCAACAACAAGAATGTAGACATGATGGATGAGAGTTTTTGGACTGATGTGGATTACGTTAGAGAACTTCAGTGGTACGTAAGCTCTTATGCGATTACCAAGACTATGACAGAAAAGGCAGTTCTTGAATTTGCAGCAGAACATGGAATGGATCTGGTGACGGTCGTTCCTCCTTTGGTTGTCGGTCCCTTCATCTGTCCAAAGTTAACTGGTTCTGTGCGCGCAGCATTGGCTCCGATTCTAGGTACAACTTAAAATTTTGTTTTTATATTGATTCAACAGAGAATTTTTACTGAAATAGTATGAACTTTTTGTGTCAACTACTAAAACGGTAAGATTGATATCTGTTCAGGGAATAAGGATGATTACAGTCTTCTTCTCAATGTAGCGATGGTGCATATTGATGATTTGGCAAGGGCATTTATCTTCCTGCTCGAGCATCCTGAGGCAAAAGGGAGGTACAATTGTTGCTCGGACACAGTAACTGCTCAAAAGATAGTTGAAATTCTTTCTGCTAATTACCCAGAATACACACTTCCAATAGTAGAGTGAGTAAAGTTTTATTTTTCTTGGGCATTTTCTCAATAATTTGAACCCTTCTTATCTTAATCTTGGGACTGAAGAGAAAAAATTTTAAAGCTTTTTTCTTTTAATTCTTGGCAGATGCCTAGAAGAAATTGAAGGTCCTAAAATGCCTGGTTTGTCATCAAAGAAACTCTTGGATTTGGGTTTCAAATTTAAGTATGGGGTTAAGGATATGTACGATGGAGCTATCAAGTGTTGCAAGGAGAAAGGGTTTCTCTAGTAAGCATAATTACCGCTCTCTAGCATGCCTAGTTTGACGTCATGGTGCTAAAAGGGAACGATGTTAACTGATTGTTTCAATTTGTTACATTGCCAGGAACAAGAACTTGAGGATATACATGATTCAATCTGCCGAGTGATGAAGATGCACTTCCTTTGAAGATTTTCGAATTCTAAAGAAAGAAGTATTAGCATAGAGGTTCATGAAGCCCTTAAATTTTGGTGTAATAAACAGAGAATTAATTTTATTATCTGTCGTATTTCATGCTTCGCTGCTTGTGCTTTCATGAAGTATGACCTGCGTTTTCTGGGATTATTGTTTGTACTTTTCAACTCATGTAGCATATTTCTTTGCATGAGACAGAATAGAATAAATAAGAATGAAGCTCTTTTAATTGTTATTTTAAAATGAAAGAACAAAGTACACTGTCATAGATATCCCCAGAATTAGAAGGTATACTTTCAAAGTTGAAGTTGAAACTGTTTGGAATTAAAATAATAATCCAGAATCATTAGAAGATATAATAATAGAGACAGGACAAAGGGGCGGTGGTTGGAGGGGCACGTAGTGTTATTGTCAACAACCACTAACGAAGAAATAATTGCAGTATGTATCCGCAAAGGAGAGAGAATTATTTTTTAACAAAATTAATAGAGGAATATATTCTCTTGATTGAACTAAAATCCAAGAATATTTTGAATTTAGCTAATTAATATCTGATGCAAATCCGCATTTAGAGAGAGCTAAGAAAGAAGTGAAGTATAGAAAGATGGAAGAAGGAAAAGGAACCGTTTGTGTGACAGGAGGTACCGGATACATAGCTTCATGGCTGATCAAGAAGCTCCTTGAGGAGGGTTACTCTGTCCATACCACCATTAGAGTTGACCCAGGTAAAGGGTAAAAAACACATCCTTTTATTGTCATCTGCAACTCTGTTTTTCTTTGTGGCCTAAAACAGAGTTTTTTTTTTCTTCTCTTTTTGAATCTGTGATATATGACCAGAAAACAAAAAAGACATTAGCTTCCTCACCAGCCTGCCAAGAGCAACCGAAAGGCTCAAAATCTTTGCAGCTGATCTTAGTGATCCGGACAGTTTCGACGCAGCCATTGAAGGATGCCAGGGAGTCCTCCACCTTGCCACTCCAGTCGATTTTGAGAACAAAGAGTCTGAGGAAATGTTAACCAAACGGTCGATCAATGGAGCATTTGGCATCATGAAGGCATGCTTAAAATCAAAAACAGTGAAGAGACTTGTTTACACTTCTAGCTTATCCGCCGTTGTGTTTAACGACAAAGGTGTGGAGATCATGGATGAGAGTTTTTGGACAGATGCGGCTTTCGCTAGAGATAAATTAGATCCGTCCTTAAGTTCCTATGCGATTTCGAAGACTTTGACAGAAAGGGCAGCTCTGGAATTTGGAGCAGAGCATGGATTGGATGTGGTGACAGTGATTCCTCCTTTTGTTGTTGGTCCTTTCATCTGTCCCAAGTTCCCTGGTACAGTGCGCTTATCATTGGCTCCGGTCTTAGGTACAAGTCTATCAATGTTTTCCTTCATATTTTTAATTGCTTCAGGAAATATTCTTGCTTACGGAGACAAAAATTCAACAGATCAGAGAAATCCTTACTAAACTAGTGTTAATTTTTCGTGTCAACTACTAAAACAGTAAGATTGGTATCTGTTCAGGGAGTAGGGATGAGTATAGTCTTCTTCTCAATATAGCTATGGTACATGTTGATGATTTGTCAAGGGCATTTATCTTCCTGCTCGAGCATCCTGAGGCAAAAGGGAGATACAATTGTTCCTCGGACACGGTAACTATTCAAAAGATAGTTGAAATTCTTTCTGCTAATTACCCAGAATTCACACTTCCAACAGCAGAGTGAGTAAAAGCTTTTTTCTTTTTGTCCCCAGCAGTTTCTCTATAATTTAGAACTCATGTTATCGGACTACCTTTTTTTATTTTATTTTTAATTCTTGGCAGTTCCCTAGCAGAAATTGAAGGTACTAAAATGCCTAGTTTGTCATCAAAGAAACTCCTGGATTCGGGTTTCAAATTTAACTATGGGGTTGTGGATATGTTTGATGGAGCTATCAAGTGCTGCAAGGAAAAAGGCTTTCTCTAGTAAGCATAATTACAGCACCCTGTCATGGCTAGTTTGACATCATAGTTATGAAATCTACAGTAACGATTTTAACTGATTAGTTGTTTCCAATTTGTTAGATTGCGAGGACCAAGTGCCTCAGGATATGTATTATTCAATCAGTTGAGGGATGAAGATGCACTTCATGTGAAGATTTTAGGATTCTAAAGAAGGAAGTATTAGTGGCAAGGTTCATAAGCTCTTTATTTTGGTCAAAAAACTGTAAAATTAATGTATTTTCTGCTGTATTTCATGTCTTGATGATTGTGAATAACTGTATGCAGCCAAGCTTTCCTATCAACGTTCAGAAAAAGAACAAGAAAAAGTAGTTGTTTCTTACTCAATGGGAAATAAAGAAAGCTATGAACTTTTCTCAGTGATTTGCACTTGTGTCATCTTAATCTTGAGATCAAAAGCAAAACTGTTTATGTTGTTTTATTCTTGGTAGTTACTTAGAAGAAATTAAAGATAGAAAAACAGCCTGGTTTGTCATCAAAGAAACTCTTGGATGCGGACTTTGAGCAAATTTTTAATGAAGGGTGCTGCAAAGGAAAAAGGCCTTCTCTAGTATTGTAGATAGTTTGGCATCAGGTTACAAAATCTATAGGAATTCACGATATTGCTGAATTTGTTCCTCGGTGAGATCTAAATCTCGGAATTGAAGCAATTGTTGGGCAATATGAAGGCGAGATTGATATTGGAAACAATCATACTTCCAGTATTTGACATAATTTCTTGTTTTTATTATACTAATTCTTGAAATGTGAAGAATTCTGCTCATGGGCTTGAGGAATATTAATCAAACCAAGTTTAGGTTCATGTCATCTAAATCCAGATATGATCGGCTCTAAGTTTTCTTGGTTTTAACCGTAAAAGGATAGTAGCGTCATGGATATTAGAAATTCTGCCCTTCGAACGAAATGGATTTGGAGGTTGGGACAAGAAAAGGAAAGTCTATTGTGAAAGGTTTTGGTGGAAAAAGAAAATGGTGATCACTTGAGCTTGATTCCGAGAGTGGAGAGTAGCCGCAACGCTTCCACGCTATGGAAGAATATTATTTCACCCCTTTCCCCGACTAATGATTTTTTTCCACAGGTTAAATCTTATATGGGGATGGTCATTGGAAATGGAAGTAATGTGTTGTTTTGAAGTGATGAGTGGGTGGAGGGTGGTGTCTTGAAAAATATATTTTCTAGAATTTATGCTCTAGTGGAAAATAAAGAAGGGAGAGTGGCTGAATTTGGTGAATGGGCTGGTAACGAGTGGAGATGGGATATCTAGCTAAGACGACAACCTTTTGGTTGGGAAGAAGAGCAATGGACAGAATTCAAAAACACAATTGAAAGCTTCAATCTTAATCAACAGATAAGTGATGAAATTGTCTGGAAGGGTAACAGCAATGGGAAGTTCACAATTCGATCCTTTTGTGAGCAGGCCATGGACAAAAAAGACAAGCAAGAAGGAATTTGGAGTCTGGTCTGGGTCAATATTGCGCCACAAAGAGTGGAGGCCTTCATGCGGCAAATGGTTCAAGGTAGGGTGGCTGTGAAAGGAGAGCTACTGAGGAGAGTATTAATTAGTTATGATTCTGCAGTATGTAGCTTGTGCAATGGAAGTGTCGAAACGGTTAATCATCTGTTTGTGACCTCTTTTAAGGTTTGGGAAGTTTGGACAAAATGGTGCAGCTATTGGAACTACGACTGGATCACTCCCAATAACATTAAAGCTGCATTGGAGGCATGGAACAGAGCTGATGTGAGAAATAGTGACATGAGAATTTGGCGGATGGGGTTCTTTGCGATTCCTTGGACTATTTGGTTAAGTAGAAATGAAATCACTTTTAAAGGAAAAAGCTGGGGCCCTGAGCAGATTTTTGACTTGGTGGAACTAAGAGTTGCAAGTTGGGCTGCTGCTAAATGGCCTGATGATCATCCTAGTGTGCTGAGCTTATTCTGTCTAACCCAAGGTGCAGGTCACGAAGAAGGACAGAAGGAAACCAAAAGTAAGCATTGAATGGTAGAAACCAGAAGAGGGATGGATGGAATTCAATGTTGACGGGGCTGCCAGAGGGTCACCGGGGGAAGCAGGCATTGGGGGTGTCCTTCGGAACTGCCAAGGTGAGACCAAAATTATTTTCTCTAAATCGACGGGGGTAAGTGATGCGAATACAGCAGAATATCTTGCCATCAGAGAAGCGTTCCTGATTTTTGCAGCCACTGAATGGAGGAAACATATATTCTTGGTGGTTGAAAGTGACTCAGTGAATGCGGTTAACTGGGCAAACCAGCCTCAAACGGCTCCATGGAAATTGAGAAGATGGGTTCCACAGATAGAGAAGCTAAAGACAGAGGTTAGCAAATGAGAAATTATTCACATACAATGAGAAGGCAACTAAGTTGCTGACGGGTTGGCAAAAGAAGGGGTCAATAGCAAGCGGGACCTTTTGCAGATTTTAGGAATCGGTGAGGAAAACTCTAGCTAGTGAAGCATCCAATGTCTTGCGATCTGTGACCAGGTGGTTGAAGCTTCTACTCTTTTTTGAGGTTCTTTTGTGCTTTTGGGTTGTCTGTAAAAAGTTTTGTGGTTGTCGAGGGTAGGAGGGGCCTCTCCTATTGTGTTATGCTACCATGAATTATTGTGTTTTGTTTAGACAAGAATGTGCAGGTCTCTGCTTTATGAGAGTGTATTGTTATCTAATTTTTACATAGTAGATTTTTGTAAGTAGTTGTACGGAAGATTTGGAGATTATATCTGTTTTTTGTGTCCAGTTATGGTCCACAAATTATTGGATCTTTTTATGATATTCTTTTGAAGAGGATTTTTCCATCCTCATTAGCTATGAAACTTTAATCTTTCAAAAAAGCAAAAAGGATAATTGCGTAATCACATACGCATGGACAAAATTGTACATTACACCAAAGTCGCAGACTTGCTGTCAGCGTAAAGATGACACCACCCCGCAAAGGGATATCGCAATCCTTCATTTTAAGCTAACCCCACCCAGCAAAGTGCAGGTGGACAATGACGGACTACCTGGACCACTTGAGGAGGAAGGAAATCATGATGTGAATTTCACCTATATTTTTTAATGGAAGCATGGTTGCCATTTCACAATTGATATATGGCCTAAATCTTCTGAGAGAGCACTTTGAAAGGAGATAAGTCAAGGGTAATGGAAGGAGATAAAGGAACCGTGTGTGTGACTGGAGGTACTGGATATATAGCTTCATGGCTGATCAAGAGGCTTCTTGAAGAGGGTTACTCTGTGCACGCCACTGTTAGAGCTGATTCAGGTAAGGAGTAAAGTTAATAAGATTAGAACACCATTTAATTTTTAATAACAAAGAGGAACTATTTTCTCTTGAGGCCTATAAATTTAAGGACAGATTAATTTATATATCAAATTCAGGGTGAGAGAATTAGTATTGAACAAATAAACAAGATTTATGCTGGATTAATGAAGCTTTTCTGCAGAGAACTATTTAATTGTGTTATCGTTTCCATTTTTTTTTCTTAATATTCCTGAAGGGTGGTGCTGTTCCTAGGTGTATCAAGCTGTTTTCACAAACCACATGGTTGAATCTTTTTTTTCTTTTTTGAAAGATTGAAGTTTCATTGCAAAGAAGGATGGAAAATTCCCCTTCAAAAGAAATCAGTAAAGAACCAGTGATTTGTGGGTTATTCCTGGGCACAAAAAGCAGATATATTCTTCAAATCTTACTCACAGCTACCTATAAAAACCTGCTATATAAAATCGAACAATTATACACCTCGTATGACTGATACATGCACAATCCTACCTATACAGAACACATCAAGTCATAGCAGCAGAACAAAATAGAATCAAACCCTTCCTACCCTTAAACAACCACAAAAACTTTAACAGACAATCAAGTAGCACAAAAATCATCAATTCAAGAACAGAACCTCAGCCACGCAGTCAAAGATCGCAAGGCATTCGATATTTCACTAGCTAGAAGTTTCCTCACCAGTTCCATATATCCGCAGAAGATCCTGCTGCCTATTAACCCCTTCTTTGGCCAACTTATCAGCAACTTGATTGCCTTCTCTTCGTATGTGAATAATTTCCCATCTGCTAACCTCTTTCTTTAGTTTCTCTATCTGCAACACCCATCTTCTCAATTTCCATGGAGTTTGAGGCTGGTTTGTCCAGCTTGCCGCATTCACTGAGTCAATTTCAAGCACCAAGGATATATGATTCTTCCACTCGGGGGCTGCAAATATCAGGGACGCTTCTCTAATGGCAAGAAATTTTGCTGTATTTGCATCACTGACCTCAATCGATTTAGAGAAAACAACTTCGGTCTCACCTTGGCTGTTTCGAAGACCCCCAATACCTGTTTCCCCCGGTGACCCTCTTGACAGCCCCATCAATATTGAACTTCATTCATCCCTCTTCTGGTTTCTTCCATTCAATACCGACCCTTAGTTTCGTTCCATCCTTCTTTGTAACCGGCACATTGGGTTGACAGAATAGGCTCAGCACACTAGGATGTTCATCAGGCTATTTAGCAGCAGCCCAGCTTACATAGTTGAATCTTTTAATATGTGACTTATGACCAGAAAGCAGAAGAGACATCAGTTTCCTCACCAGTCTGCCAGGAGCAGCCGAAAAGCTCAAAATCTTCAGTGCAGATCTTAATGATCCGGACAGTTTCGATGCAGCCATTGAAGGATGCAAGGGAGTCCTCCATGTTGCCACTCCTGTCGATTTCGAGAACAAAGAACCTGAGGAAGTAATAACCGAAAGGGCAATCAGTGGAGCGCTAGGCATCGTGAAGGCATGCTTAAAATCAACAACTGTGAAGAGAGTTGTTTATACTTCTAGTGCATCCGCAGTTGTGTTCAACAACAAGGATCTGGACATGGTGGATGAGAGTTTTTGGACCGATGTGGATTTTGTTAGAGAAAAAGTGGACCCGCACGCACGTTCTTACGTGATTTCCAAGACTTTGACAGAAAGGGCGGCTCTTGAATTTGCAGCAGAACATGGACTGGATCTCGTGACAGTGATTCCTACTTTTGTTGTTGGTCCTTTCATCTGCCCCAAGTTCCCTGGCTCAGTGCGCACGACATTGGCCCTGCTCTTAGGTACAAGCTAATTTTGCCATGAATAGTTCCCACTTTAATTGCTTCAGGCAAAACTCTTTTCTTCAGTTGGTTTGGTTTTCAATTACCTTATGTGGACAAGTTTTATTGCTCTGTTTCGGCCTAAACAGGCATCCAATTGGGCTTTAGAAAACTGTTTCTACTGAATTTCAATAGGGAATATTCACCAAGGTCAGTGAAACTAAATATTTATATAGGGAACCAGCATGAATATGCTACAATTCTGAATACATCAATGGTGCATGTTGATGATGTGGCATGGGCACATATTTTCCTGCTTGAGTATCCTGATGCAAAAGGGAGATACAATTGTTCTTCGGACAGAATCAGTCTTCAGAAGATGGCTGAAATTCTTTCTGCCAAGTATCCAGAGTTCCCAATTCCAACAGCAGAGTGAGTGAAGTATTTCTCAAATAATTCAAAGTTATGTTAGAATAATCTTGGACTACCAGCGGAGTTTCCTCAATTCCCTCTTTTCTTGGCAGTTCCTTAGCAGAAATCCAAGGTATGAAAGAACCTGGTTTGTCATCAAAGAAACTCTTGGATACAGGATTCAAATTTCAATATGGGGTTGAAGAAATGCTTGATGGAGCTATTAAGTGTTGCAAGGAAAAAGGCTATCTCTAGTAAGTATAATCTACCATCACTAACAGTATATTATGGTGAAAATGTCCGGAAACAATGTCAACCAATCGGTTTCAATTCATGCTGCAAAATGCAGGGAGAACGGGCCTGAAGATGTGGTTGAATCCAGAGTGTCAAAGAGAAGAGGCTCAAGGAAGCTTGTGATAACGTAAATCTAAATAAGCTTGAAAAGCCACAAATCCAATGTAGTTTGAGTTGTCTTCTATGTTTCCAAACTTGTTCTTGTGAAGTGTGAGCTGCATTTATAGTTTAGCTTATATTTCCATTTTATCTTATATTTAGAATGACTGCGGTCCATTTTATTGATTAAGATGAGTTCAAAATTTTAAGGTATAATATTTAAAGAAATTCTTAAATTATTTAAAAAATTTTAAATAATTTTTTTATTCTATTACCTTCAATTAAATTTTTCGATTTTTATAACAAATAAGTTAAAATGTAATTTCTCATTCAATAGTTTTTATAAACATTAATATTAACTTTTGATTTGCATTCTTCTTCTCTATATTTTCTTTAGGTGAGTAAATGGTCCATTAAGTTAATTTGAATAAAAAGTTTTAATAATTGAATATTACTTAAAAATTAATCAAATTGATAAAAATCAATAATGAGTCGATTAATTGATTAATAGAATTATATTAATTTATTTAATCGATGAACGAATTAATTAATCAAAATTTTTGGTGTTACGAGTCTTGATTCATTCAAGACTAATTTTTTAATTTCATTTTTCCATGATAGTTAGAAAATAAATAAAATTAAATTATGATATCTTAATAATATCATGAGTTTAATAATATTAAAATGTTCTAATAAACATGGTTAAAAACATTAAAACAGAAGAAATGACTCAAATATGAACAATACTTATGTACTTATAAATCTAAATTGATTAATTTGGTTAATCAAAAAAAATTGCACAATAAAAATCGATGGAATGAATCGATTTAATCACGTTCACTTTCGAATTAATCCACAAAGTAAAATAATCAAATCGTTTTAACTACATATATTTTATTAATTTAATGACTTAAGCTTGAATTGAAAATTTTCCAAACTTTAAGGTTCGATTTGTAATATTACATAAGCTTTCAAACGAATGACCGTTAGGAGCCTGAGTGCAGCTCAAGCTACCTTCAAGTTTACTGCTTAAATGTCACAAATCGACGTCGTTTTGACGCATTGTTTTCCTTTCGTGGAGCGAAATCCGCGATTCGTTGAAACGCCAACCCCACGCAATATAACGGCCATTCTCAAACTGCGCCATCTTTCTCTCATCTTATTACAAGCACAAACGCATGCACTCTTTTTTCTCTTCAAAAAAATTTTCTCTCCCTTTTTAGCTCAAAAAGTTCTTAATTGTTTTTTTTTTCCTGGTTTTGTGAAAATCATCTTGTTTTGTTCGCAAAATCGACGCATTTGTAATAAGCGATGTCGTTTTCGGATTCTGAGTCGTCTTCCCATGGCTGTGAAAGAGAATACAAGGTGTTTCGACAGTTCAGCCGCGATCGTATGTCCTCTCTACTTGAACTCATTGTTTTTAGATTTTTGTCTGTTTGTTTTCAAGATCTTGAAAATGTCAAGTTCGAATTAGCTCGATCTTTGGCAGCGCCCTCCGCTCAGAGAAAGTGCTATTCCCTGAGGTTTACGTGTCGACTACTTGGAGAGCTTATTGAGTCTCTGGCTGTTTGGCTTACGATATTGATGACTTTCTTTTCAGGCCTATTGTATGAAATGCTTGGATCTTCGACATCTGGAGGTTCAAAATCTGCTTGGAAGGTTCGATCTTATAATTCTTGTTTTCTTGCATTTCATTATTTGAATTTCCATTTTCTTTTACTTGTTAATTTTTTTCTTATCTTTTAGGCTTTTTCTTTCTCAGCGCTAGATAGTTGATACTGATCTTAAGTTTTTTCAGTCATTTAATCTGTTCGTGTATGCTTAGTCCACAATAGAATCAGACTAATTAGTTTCTCCAGGTTGTTTTAGTCAATTTTGATGGATTTTTGGCAGGTACTCATAATGGATAAAGTGACCGTCAAAGTCATGTCTCATTCGTGTAAAATGGCAGACATCACAGATCAAGGAGTTTCCTGTAAGCTTATAGAAATTGATTTAAGAAATTCTTGATATATATTACTTTTGAAAACATGAAGCAATGTGTTGTAGAATAGCTATTGATATTGCTGGTTGCAACTTACCTGAGATTCTTGTCTATTGCAGTGGTGGAAGACCTTTTCAGGAGAAGGCAGCCATTACCATCCATGGAAGCTATATATTTTATCCAGCCATCAAAAGAAAAGTATGTTGTTTATTTCTTTTAAATTTCATTTCACTTTCACTACATATTCCTTCGTTGCTTTTGACCTCTGCTTGTCTTTATACTAAGATCTTTCACTGTGAATTCTATATCAATGTTTCAAAACTCTGAACCCATTTTGACCCAATCTTTTGCTAGCATGCAGTATTATCATGTTCTTATCTGACATGTCTGGAAGGGAGCCTTTATACAAGAAGTATGTGAACGATTTTCCCCAGAAACTTTGATTTTATGTGATCTGACAACGTTCTCCTGTCTCCGCTCCCCCTAACGCTGATTTTCTTTCCCAGGGCATTCGTATTTTTTAGTTCACCTGTTCCAAAGGAATTCGTTAATCACATTAAAAGCGATACAAGTGTGATACCTCGCATAGGTGCATTGAGAGAGGTATGAATTTTCTATTTATATTAGTTCTTGCAACATTTACTGTTTTTTTTTTAAAGTGTTTTACTTAGATTCTGTTGTTTTGACTTATGGTTTTTGTTGCTTGTTAATTTGCAGATGAATTTGGAATACTTTCCTATAGATAGTCAGGTTGGACAACAACATTTGTTCCTTTATTTTTGTTTGAATGCCTTATAATGAATTCATGACTGAATCTTAATGATCCATCCAATTTTGGACGCAGTTGTATTTGCATTATTATGATCTTTAAAAATTTATCTTTTTTAAATGACAGAGATGTCACCTTCAATGCAAATTTATTTATTGTTTATCTGTCATAAGTAATTACCCTTGAAGTTAGAGTTCTCATGAACCAGATGATTGATTATTGAAGGTATAACCAATTTGTGCTAGGACAAAATTGCTTATGTTTTTGTGCCCATTAAAGTATCAGGGTCTAGGAGAGTTATGATTACATAAATTGTGACCTCACTTGTTTTGGTTAGGGCCCAAGATATGAGTTGATTGCCAGATGATTATTAGGAAGTATATTTAAAATATGTTATCCACCAAGACCTTTTGATGCAGGGTTTTATCACTGATCATGAAACAGCCTTGGAGGAACTCTTTAGTGAAGATGCTGAGAAGTCTCGCAAATTTGAAGTTTGTTTGAATACAATGGCGACTCGAATTGCCACAGTTTTTGCCTCATTGAAGGTATGAATTGTATAAGAAGTTGGTAAAGAACTATGATACTAAAAGGTGAAAATATGGGCCAAGCTTATAAAGTAAAAATGTCACATTTAGTCTCTGCAGTTTATTCCGTATGCGACTTCAAGCCTTAACATTTGTATTATTTATGGCAATCTTCCTTTTGAAATCAAATAGCATCTTATTGTTAGATAATTAACTGGGTTGGACTTCTCAGGAGCTTCCATTTGTGCGATATCGTGCTGTCAAGACACAAGATGCATCTACAGCAACAACCCGTGACTTAATTCCTTCTAAGCTTGCCGAAGCTGTTTGGAACTGTCTTTTGAAGTACAAATCTATTCCCAACTTTCCACAAACTGAAACATGCGACCTGCTTATCTTGGATAGATCTGTTGACCAGGTTAACTATAATTTCTGTATTCATGATGTGCTTTATTTGAGCAATGTGAGGTTGATTTTGTTGAAAGTGATGGCACTTTAAATGTTTAGATTGCTCCTGTGATACATGAATGGACATATGATGCTATGTGCCATGATTTACTTGATATGGATGGAAACAAATATGTGTTTGAGGTAAGTTTTTCTTGTTAAATTGCTTCCAAGAGTTCATTTTCTTTCTTCTTTTCTGTTTTTTCTTAAATTTTATTTTATTCTCATATAAGAATAACATGTGTTTTCTTAGGTTCCTAGCAAATCAGGTGGCCCACCAGAGAAAAAGGAGGTCCTTTTAGAAGATCACGATCCAGTTTGGCTAGAGCTTCGCCATGCACACATAGCCGATGTATGTCTCATGCACTTATATTCTCTGTTATCTGGAAAGAGTAAAACCATAATGCTCTTTTCCACCATTAACATGTTAGGCAAGTGAGCGCTTGCATGATAAGATGACCAACTTTAAATCAAGGAACAAAGCCGCACAGGTTCAGAGCTCAAGGTTAGTGGCTTCACTGCTGAACTTTGTGAAATAGTAAGAAATTATGTATCTGATGAAGTTTTGCCATTAGCATATAACTTGAAGATGATGATTGTATGGTCTAATCTTAAGCTTAGTAATGAATTAGTAGGAAGGTTGTTTGCAATAGGGGAGTTTACATCATTTTGAAGTTTTATATAGATTCATGAGTAGTATGGCCTTGAATTAGAGGAGGACACATAGTATTTTGTGAAGTATAATGCGGATTATCATATAACTAGACAAGTAGACATGTTTAGGAATTTGTTTTTAATACTTTTTAAATGGAATATGTAGATGCTTCCTTTAAGGACTACTTGCATGATTGAAAGTTAAAAATATTTCTACTTTAGGTCACAATCTCTCTGAATGATGAACTGAATTAAGTTAAATATTCTTGCAACTCCTCCATAGACCCTTTCTGTTGAAGTTTGGTTCATTGCAGAGATGGAAGTGAATTATCTACTCGAGACTTGCAGAAAATTGTGCAAGCTTTGCCACAATATAATGAAATAGTTGAAAAGCTCTCTCTGCATGTGGAGGTTTGTTTATTGTTGAATGCCCGGCTTTTTAATTGTCACTTTCTTATTGAATTAAGTGCTATCTCCTTTTTAATTGTCATTTTCTTGTCGAATGTCATAGATATTCATTTGCTTCAGGGATGTATGTGGTCATTTAGCCAAATGTTTACAAAGGTAATAAATATGACTAAGTTGTAACTACTAAAAATCTTACTATAGGAACCAACAAAAGATCTGAGCACTCATACCTGAAGTGTTCACACTCTTGCCTTTTGGAGTTCTTTTTACTTCATGTTATAAGATTATGAGATTAAAAGTAAACCCATCACCTATCTGCTTAACTTTTAGGTTGAGTGATTACAACATGCATGGTTTTGATATCAACATGTATAATGTTAACAAAGGAAATAAATATGACTAAGTTTTAGTAAGTTTTAACTACTAAAACTCTTGCTGTAGGAAGAAAGAAAAGTTCTGAGCTCTATTAAGTGTTCACACTCTTGCTTTCTGGAGTTCATTGGAATTTATGTGATACATGTTTGGGATTAAGACCCACTCTTGAACCCTCAACTTATTGCTTAAATTTATAGGTTGAGTAATCCTCGACAGCATGCATGGTTTTGATATCAAGAACAACTTCATCCTGAGATACATTCTCAAATATTTGAGATAGCACTAGCAGTAATTCAATACAGTTTTAAGTTGCTAGTAGCTCTTGAATGCAAAGTGGAGCTTTCTGTTTGTCCTAGTCATCATCTGCAAGGTGGAGCCTTCAATACATTTTTAAGTTGCTTGTATTACACTCTTGAAATGCAAAGTGGAGTATTCTGTTTATCCTAGTACAAGCATCATTTGTAAGGTTGTGGAGGCTTGCAAGGAGATGGTTAACCTGACAATTATATCAACAGATTGCCGGAACAATTAACAAATATATCAGGGAAATGGGGCTTCGTGAGCTTGGACAAGTAGAACAGGATCTTGTTTTTGGAGATGCTGGAGCAAAGGACGTCATCAGCTTTCTGAGGACAAAGCAGGTGATGTCATGGTTGATGCTTAGATAACATTAAATATTGTAGGATTGGAATTTTTTTTAACTTTCCTTTTAAAATCTCATGACATTCAAAGTTTTAATCCATACAGGATGCATCTCCGGAAAATAAATTGCGTTTGCTGATGATTTATGCGTCAGTCTATCCAGAGAAATTTGAGGGTGATAAAGCTTCAAAGCTTATGCAGGTAGCTATTGCATTCCCTATCTAAGTAATTAATAGGAGCTTGTTCTGCTGGTAATTGCATAATTTGAGAAAATTTTCTTTCCTTTTTACTATCTGTCAATGCTTCCTGAATTGAAATAGAAGACTGGTCAATGTCATGTGTACCAACAAAACTCAAGGAAGCCATGTCTTAAGGATAGAACCAATCAGAAGTGCAAATTGCTCTGGCAAAGCAAACACTTTCAACTCACAGACTTGTATCCTGCTCCTCTTGCTTGGCCAAGAAGTGTTAAACATAAAAGGATACTAGGACTAATGGCTTGTTGCTTAACTTTATATTCCCTATTTGAACTTCTTTGATCAAGCTTTTGAAGCATAGTGGATTGGACAGATAGCTGTTATAACAAACAAGCTTTTTGTGGTTGTTTTCAACCTAGTTGTTCTTCCAGACTTGTTTGTCATTTGCACTACAGTTTAGAAGAGTTTCAAGTTTTAATTTCCTATATTTCATAACAGACAATGATTTGTGTAGTTTTTTGTAGACAATTTAATGATCAATTGGGTTGATTCGTAATTCAACCTAGTTGTTCTTCTTAACTTTATTCTGATTTGCACTGCAGTTTAGAAGACTTCAAGTTTTAATTTCCTATGTTTCATAACAGGCGGATGGATTCTATATGTAGCTCTGTGTACAATTTACTTATCAAAGCAAATCAATGATTTTAACTGAATTAGTGAAGTGAACTGTTATTTGTTTTTTCTTTTCTCTATTTGTTCATCAGTTGGCTAAATTATCACGAGAAGATATGAAAGTTATTAACAATATGCAATTACTTGGAGGATCATCACAAAGTAAAAAAGCAACCAGTGGTTTCTCGCTCAAGTTTGATGGCCAAAAGGTAAGCCAAGTAGCTTTGAGACAATAAATGAAGATCAGTTAGGATCCTGCCCTTATCAAAAACATAGTGGTTTGAGTTATAGAACACTAATCAATGAACATCCTTTTGATGTCAGACAAAACAAGCAACAAGAAAGGACCGAACTGGAGAGGAAGAAACTTGGCAACTATTTCGGTTTTATCCCATGATAGAGGTATGATCTATCTTTTATCTTTTTTTTCTCAATATGTGTGATTTATATCAATGTATCTCTGAATATTTTGTCTTGGAAAACTTCTGTGATTAATTTATATCTCAGTGACCAATCTCCCATTATGCATATTATACAGCTTAGAGTTGTACCTTTAAGATTTTTAAAGAAATCAGTCTTCATAGAACTACACCTTGTTTACAAAAGACAACTTCTAAAAAGAACACAAGCACACACTAACAGATACTCAAAAACAAGAAATGATTTCATGTACAAGAGAAAGATGTTTCGTTTGATCTACTAGTTCCTTGTTAATGCCTTATGCATATAATTAAATGCTATTGGTTGACATTTTTCACACGACAGGAGCTTATTGAAAATCTTAGCAAAGGTGAGCTGCCAAAGAACAACTATTCATGTATGAATGAACCAAGTGCAGTTGTCCAGGACAGACCCCAAAATGGATCGTCGCGGACAAGACCAACTCCAGCTGCACCTACAGAGAAAAGGCCGGCTCATTCAATGAGATCAAGACGAACAGCAACCTGGGCACGGCCTCACTCTTCTGATGATGGATATTCCAGGTACCCTTTCAGCTCAAAGTCTCATCTTTTTATACCGGGCCCCTTTCTGAACAGTAGTTGTTCTACTGGCTAGATAGATCATAGACATACTCTTGACTCTTCAATGATTATTGTCTCGTCTATTTCTCCTTGCATCAAACTCTGTAATGCAACACATAACTCTCTTCAGTGCCTTTTGCAGTGATTCAGTTCTGAAAAATGCAACTGCTGATTTCAAGAGAATGGGACGGCGTATTTTTATATTTATCATAGGTGGGGCAACTCGATCTGAGGTAAAGTAGCTGCTGCATTTCTCTTATTGGCTTTGAGTTGATATTTGAATCTCATCTGATGTTTTAAATTGATGCCCTTTTATTGTTGGGATTGTTAACCTGATAGATTCTATTGCTATTGGCAGCTACGAGCATGTCACAAACTCACAGCAAAACTGAATAGGGAAGTTGTCCTGGGTTCTTCTAGTTTGGATGATCCTCCACAATATATTACGGTAAATAGATTTTGTTCATATCATTTTCACAGTAAGAGTACAAAACCTGGCACAAGAGGATATATCTATGGTATATTTTTGCACATTTCTTCACAGTAAGATCGAGTCCATATGTGATTTGGCAAGTATCTAAATGCATGCATACATACACCCCATCTGAGATCTCTTTTTACTTCCTAAACATTTTCATGCATCCAAAAGAAGTTCCACAACCACAAGAGAACTTCGTTTTCTCATCTCTCAATCCTGTTTCCTTGAGAGCAGTCTGACCAAATTTCAGAAGCATTTTTCTGAGATATAAATGGAACTAAAAGATGCAGCAAACTGCAGAAAAGGAGGAGCAATTGTTTTCTTTTTAAGTTATTGCTTCTAACGATTTTATCTCCATGTTGCAGAAACTGAAGCTTCTGTCAGAAAAGGATCTATCCATGGGTGCCCCACAACCCAACTTTTGGTGAGATCGAACTCTGGCTCACATGCTTTTTGCCCATTGCCAGCCGGTTGAATACCTCGTTTTGGAGTTGACAATAACCCTGCAAAGTAGGACTCCACAATTTGAATGACGAGCAGTTTTACTCTGTGTACTTAGAAAGTGGGTCGAAAAAGATCGAAAAAAAGGCCCATATCATGTCTGTACAGTCATGGCCTCTTGAAAATATAATTCGAGTCTCGGACCTGCACCCGGAGTGGAGCGAGTCTTGTTGTTTGTCGTTAACCAAAATTTACGCATACTCTTTAGGGACATTTGGGTGCCCCTGGGAATTCGAATAGCCCATAATGTATTATATCCATTGTTTTCATATAGCGTTCAAATCTTTTAATTCATGTTGTTAAGCGGTAATATCTTCAGTTCTCAGTCAAAGTATTCACTGGGCAAAGAAGAAGGATGTTGCCTTGACGAATGTGGCTGGGCAACACGCGCTGACTATGCTTTTGTACGGTGCAGAACGCATCCCTGCATGTGTCTCACCACCAGGAAAAATGAGGAATGGGCTCGATGACATTGGGCTTTCAAGGGATCGGTTTCCCTTTCTTTATTTTGGTAAACAACGGATGGGCTTTTTACAAGTTATCGGACTATCCCGCATTCTACTTTTTCCGGAAAAGAGTATCTTTTTTCATTAAAAAAATATTAAAATTGAAATTCTTACAAAGGAAAACAGTTTGTTTATTTTTTTCTCTTAATTTAAAATTTTAAATTTCAAAATCCCCAACGTAAATACTAATGGTAGAATATAACTAAATAAAATGATTTATCTACTATTCTTAAGGGCTTTGTTTGTTTGTTTTGGCACATTTCATTTGCCACGGATCCATCCATGTAGATATTCCCACGCCGAAACGAGTTGCATAAAGTTGACGCCTCCCTCCGCCATTTCCACTTCCCCAAGCTTCGATTACTCCCACTGTAATTCCTCTCTTTGATCACAGGAAAAGAATTGTTACTTCTTCCCTTGCTAATGGATCCGATTCTTTCAGTTGTGGCGCTTTCAGTTGTTCTGGGAGCTGTGATCGTTTTCGTTTTCTTCAAAAGCTACTTTCTCAAGCAAAGATCTGAAGTTCAGACCATTGCGAAACCTGAGCTCCATTCAGATCCCAAAAAGCCCTCGAAGCCTCCTCAGCCTATCTCTAGAAAGTCCCACGCTAAACGTCACTTTCATGCCTCTGACAAGGTAATCCCCTTCTCATTCCTTTGTTTGATTGCTTACCAAAATTACAAAGGGATCCGAACAGAACTTGAACTTTCATTTCTTGATTTTACTTTCCTTGATTTCTGTATAAATATGAACCGAAAAAATAAGCTGAATTATTCAAGTGGTTAGCGCCTCAACTAAGACTCGACTAATTCCAGAGTTAGTTTTGCTTTTTAATTTCTTTGAAATTTATTGATTTCTCCTACTCTTTACTCCATTCACTTTGGAATTTTGGGGATTTTTTTTGGTAATCTAATATTGCTAGGGTTTAGTCAAGTGATTTTAGTACTTATTTCTAATAGAGAAAAGAAATTGACTTAAAAATATTTTTATCTGTTTTTGTAAATAATGTAGGATCAAAACAAGCGTCATCATCCATTGGATTTAAATACTCTTAAAGGTCATGCGGATTCAGTCACAGGGCTGTGTTTCTCCTCTGATGGTCGTAATTTGGCAACTGGTAATTATGTCTTAATTTTTGTTTGGATCTTTCTCTTCTGATAGTATTTTTTAAATACTAATAATTTTATTTATTTACAGTGTGATTGGTGCATAGGATGATGGATAGGATAGGATAAAATAAGATAAGTGGTTAGATAATATCATTTTATCCTATGTTTTGTGTGTGCAAGGATTGAAAGCAAGATGGGACGATTTTTATGTTATGCCATGTTTGCTGTGTGTAAGAATAAGGATTGGATGGGATGGTTTTTCTCAATGATCGAAAATACCCTTTTCTTAATTTTATTTTTTTTAAATGACACTTGTCATCTTACCATTAACTTAAGTGAATTTTTAGACCTAAGGTTTAGGGGTAAAATGGGAAATGTAAAGCATTTATCGTCCAATCCCTTGGGAATAAGTTGATACTATACTAGGAGGATGACTAATCCTCTTTGCAATCCAATTATCCCTTTTTTAAGTGCAGACCAAACACAGGATAGGATAAGAATCATCCTATGCACCAAACGCACCCTTAGATTCAAGAGATGTTTCACACTTAAATTTGTTTCTCATTTTTCTGTACAGCTTGCGCTGATGGAGTGGTTAGGGTATTTAAGTTGGAGGATGCTTCAAGTAAAAGTTTCAAGTACGAATCAGGAGTATTTTTTATATAGCAATGACCTTAGGAAAGACTGTGTGTGAATATTTTATTTCCTTGCCTCTTAATGTTATTCGGTATCATCATTGTGCAGGTTTTTAAGAATTAATGTGCCTGCTGGAGGTCATCCAATGGCTGTTGCATTTTCTGATGATGCATCTTCTATAGTTGTGGCTTCTGAGACTCTGACTGGTTGTTCCTTGTATATGTATGGAGAAGAAAAACAAAAAACTACTAATGATTCCAAGCAACAGACAAAGCTTCCTCTTCCAGAAATTAAGTGGGAACATCACAAAATCCATGAAAAAAGAACAATTTTGACCTTAACCGGGGCTACTGCAAGTTATGGCACTGCAGATGGGAGCACCATTATTGCCTCTTGTTCCGAAGGTATGCAGTGACGGTCTTATCAATATCAGATAATGTATACTTTGGATATCATAAAAAATTTATGAGAAACTGTATTAAGTAACTCTGTTACTTCACAGGTACTGATATCATACTTTGGCATGGGAAAACTGGGAAAGCTTTAGGGCATGTTGATACTAATCAGCTGAAAAACACCATGGCTACTATTTCACCAAATGGCCGTTTTCTTGCCGCTGCAGCCTTTACAGCAGATGTAAAGGTGAGAAACCCTGAATGCCCTTGTCTTTGTGACAAATGTTAGGATTATGATCAATATGTGGAGATTTTAAAGCTTTTGCATTTTAATACTCAAAATTGTTTATCACCATCATTTTACACTCTACAGATAGTTAGGGCATAAATGTGCTGCGTATATAATAAAATCATATAGAGCTGATAGTTCACATACTGCAGGAATCAATTATGTAATTGTAGATATATTACTGATTTCATGTGACTGCTAGTGAGATTTCCTCGATCTATATTTAGTTGAAATATTTTGGTTGGTATATGTTGTTGATATATGCCAGAAGCACTGAAATGTAATATGTTACTAGGTGCCATAAAGCATTAATTTATTTTGTGTTTCATCTCATAGGTTTGTGATTGTGCTAAGCAGTATTTGATTTGTCAGGTTTGGGAGATTGTATATTCAAAGGATGGTTCTGTCAAGGAGGTTTTAAACGTTATGCAGCTTAAAGGGCACAAGGCATGTGATTTGTTATCATCTTTTTTTAAAAAAAAATCAAATGCTTTTTCCCTGTTTCTCTTTCAATGTATTGATATTGTTTAATTACATCTTTTCTATCATGTCACAAGTTGCAATGTTATCTGGGAGAGGTTTTCAGAAAATTTATGGGAATTTATTTTTGAGAATGAGTGCCGCAATGGTTGACTTTACTAGGTCTTCTGTTTATGGTTCTTAGCGTTGAAAAAATTCCCGCTCTTGTTGGAATTATTATTCATTTTGTCAAACACGTTGAATTATTTTATCCAAATAGAGAGAATTTTACCTCATGTGGACTTTCATTGACTAATGCATCCCTTGTCTGTTTCATTTTCATGGCATATTTTCAAGTAATAGTGCTATGATCTTCCTTCTAATTGTTGTTTGTTTCTACCGTCTTCCTTCCTTTTTGTTTCCTTTTTATAAATGTCCAGAGTGCGGTTACTTGGTTATGCTTTTCTCCAAACTCAGAGCAAATTATTACAGCATCCAAGGATGGTTCAATAAGAATTTGGAACATCAATGGTTTGTCTGCACTCCTTTGTCTTCTTTCTGCCCTTCTTAATACACACACATGCACATATTGGCTTCCATACTCAAGAAGAAATCAATTGTATGAAGGATGTTTTATTTTCCACATCCAACCTCTTTACCTTCCAAGTGTAACAGAAAAAAAGGGAGGCAGGGGTGCGAGGTGGAAGAGGAATAACCTCTATAAATTTTAAAGACATGACTGATGTTTAGAAGAAGATTTCATGGATGAATCTCACTGTTGATGTTATTATCATGCTGGCCCTATGGTTGGGAAATTCTTTGGTTTCAATGAAGTTAATATACAAATTGTATGTCTAAGCTGAGCTAGTTTGCTAGCTATTTCTGTTTCTTGTATTGATGCATTATTGCTTTGTGCCTGCTGACTGTTTTACATGCTTTGTTGAAGTTCGATACCATCTTGATGAGGATCCAAAAACTCTGAAGGTGTTTCCGATACCACTTTGTGACTCAAGTGGGTCGACTTTGCTGTATGATCGTCTTTGTTTATCCCCTGATGGAAAGATTCTGGTGACAACACATGGTTCAACATTGCAATGGCTATGCATGGATACAGGAAAGGTTTTGGATACAGCTGAGAAGGCCCATGATGGTACATCCTGAGCTGTAAATTTTTATTTTATTTTATTGTTTTGTCTATATTAATATTTTATTCTTACATGTAAATCTATAGATATGATGTTACGTCCAAGTAATAAGGTTTGTGCCCTTTAATTATTAAGCACGGTACATAGTTTAACAACACAGTGCTAAAGATTTTCTTAGTGCTGTGGTGATGCTCTATGGTGATTATCACCTGGCTTGAAATTGTTGATCCTTACAATCTTTTCACCACTATTTTGCATGATTGACTGATACTGATTATGAAATGCTGTTTTGCGATTCTGGCATTGACCTCAGTCTTATGCTGCAGGTGATGTCACATGGATGTCATGGTCACCTAAGCCAATACCTCTAGGTAAAACTTATTTTCCACTTGTGTGAGTTATCTCCAGTTGCTTATATTTCTTACAATCACACCTTGTTTTATAGGAAATGAACAAGTGGTGGTTCTGGCCACGGCAAGTGTTGACAAGAAAGTAAAGTTGTGGGCGGCACCATCAAGAAATTCTTCATAAGCAAATCTTCTGGTTCACTGTCAAGGAATTTCACGGAGCCCGGGACATTGTTGTGGATGCACTTTAGATCTGCTCACCAGTCCTATCTTCAATAGTTTTAAGAACTTGAAGAGAGAAAACAGAGGTAGCTAGCTCTTCCGGAAAGGTAGAATGCTTGTAGGCAGGAATGGAGCTGATAGAAAGAATCTTTTCATACATTGTTTTCATAGTATGATCTTACTGAAATTTTGCTTACTTTGAAACATTTATACGACATGGGGATGTGTTTGGTTCTCTTACTTTTAAGTTTTGAGGTTTCTTTTCTTTTTCTAGCGCACCAGTAATATGAAAAAATTTTCAAATTTTCTTGTAAAGAAAAATGATCAAAACTACAATATGACTCTTGATGGCATGATGGTCTGAGCCATCCAACTGTTCAAAGGTGAGTCAAGCGGCAGCGAGGTACAGCTGTTACAAAACAACGCCCACCGTGGGGCTCGAACCCACGACCACAAGGTTAAGAGCCTTGCGCTCTACCGACTGAGCTAGACGGGCATTTATTTTTCGAAATGAAGAATTTTCCTCCCATCGGCCCTACAGACTATTGCCCAACCCATATATGGATGAAGCCCCAATCACTTAACTTGTGTTTAATCAGGAATGCATTGTTAAATTTATGGTAGGTTGACGAAGGAGAGGTAACTGTTAGTTTAAATTTAATAGTCTTGTCAGATCAGTGCCTTCGAAAATGGATACAAATTTAGTAGGACTCAGGAAGCCATATCTACAAAATACTAATAAATTTACGATGTCAACAACTTTGGGATGGCCACCGTCAGAGAAGAATGGGTTGCAAGTCAAGAATAGTACTACAATTGTTGCCAAAGCTACCCTAAAGGTGATGAAATATGAACACTCTCTATCCCTTGAGATCACCTCAACAATCTTAAATGGTACGACGATTGCTCATTTATCCCTAGGAAAGAAGGTCCTGTAATTGCCTAGTATCCTGTTAGAAAGAAACTCCGAATTTCTCTATTTTCTAACTCAAATTCCTGTGAGATACTTAATTGACAAAAATCAGAGTCTAACCTTTAGAAATAGAATGAAAAAGCAAAAGTTCTATTTCTATGTTTTTTTGTTTTTTGCTTGATGATGCTTACTAGTTGTTGCTTAAATTGGATGTAAATCTTCACCTTTGAGACAAAATCAAGATTTTTTAACACATTTGAAATGGTTGACCATGTTTTATGCATATCTTCTATATGTTAAAAAAAAAATTGATAATGATATCAAAAGAATCCTAAAGGATTTATAATCATAGATCCACATTATTAAATTTGCTTAGCTGGGTCAACAATCATATCTGAAAGATAAATATTAATAACAGTTTGATGAAAAAACTTGCTTAGCTGGGTCACCATTCTTATAAACATTAATAACAGTTTGATGAAACGCCCACGAGCCCCCACCAGCCTTGCGCTCTAGCTAGACAAGCTGATGTCATTTGTAGCACAAAGTCATTATTTGGCAATTTTTTTTTTTTTAATAATGTTTGCAAATAATAACTATCCTTACTGAGATATAGGAAAAATAATCTTTTTTTTTTTCAAAAAAATAAAAGAACAAGTCTATGATCTGAATTTAATCTAGGTGAGAGAGTCCCTATTTACTCAATGAATTCCGACTGCTGCTCTGACTTGAAGCCTTTCAATGAAGAGATATCCCTAGTATTTCCACTATGTTCATTGCCACTTCCTCACTTGTCCTTCAACTACACATAAGAGTAAATTAGATACTACACGGACATATAGCATCATCAACTTGAAAAATTGACAACTTTAGTCTAATCTAAACGATAATGCTACTAAGCTAACACCTGTTTTTCAAATTTCATGATATTAATTTAAAGGTCATTTTTGGACTTTTCCTCTAATTTTTTGGATAACATGGTGTTGTTACTGGATATAAAATAACTTTTTGTACATTTTATGATAAACTATTTTTACTCGTATGTAAAAGATTAATTAACATTATGAAATTAAAAATACAAATATGATATTTTCAATTTGCTGCTATAATATGTAACGCCATTCACAATTTTTAACATCAAACGTTAAAAAATATTCATAAAAGGCATACTGCTCACGTACTTAAGAAAATCATGATATTATCTTTACTCATTATAAATCTTACTGCATAACACAGAGTATCTTCTAATAATATTGAATTTGATTGTTCTACAATGGTAACTTACACATTTTCCTCATAGCTAGCTAGATATTTCACTTTTAGATGTCATGAATATCTGTAAATTACTATACTGTTAAAATTATTATAAATGAAAATCCTTTAAAATTAATTATGTTTTCTTTGCACTAATGTATATGCCTTTACCCAATTTTTTTTCTTATAATTAAAGAAGAGGGGATTTGAACCATGTTCTTTAAGTAAGAGATAACATACCAACCAATGAGCTAAATGTCTTTACCAGTTTATAGTTAATACATATCAATTTACTATAATTAATTTGAATTTAAATCCTATTAAATCTTCGATATATAAAATAATTATTTTATCAAATTACCCATAAAACCAAACCAAGTAAGTCAAGATAAGCATATTACTCAAACCTTTTAGGATTAATTTATCAACATAAATATGCAATCCCAAATCTTTCATTAACAAGATAAGCATATTGTGGTTATGGAGTACCTTTTCAAGGGCTTGCTTGCGATGGCGATATCCCTGAATTGAATTCATACATTAATTAGCGAAAATAAGTCAGATAATTTATCACACACAATTAAGTAAATGTTAATTATAATTTGTATATATACAGACAGACCTTATTAGTTCCATAGATAAAATCGCAGTAGGTAAAAACCGAACCAAAATTGCTCTGACTTTGTCCTCCAACATAGTGATGGTAATCATGGTACCCCGCCCCAACGCAAAATGGTATGAATTTGGTCGGACTCCAAGGAAACTCAAACCTTGTATCATTATGGTTCATATATATGCACAATACAAAAAGGAAGTAAATTAAAGAGAACTCAGCTATTACAAAATTTATATAATAATATAGAATCATAATTTTATAAAAGTACTCTTTTAATATTACAATTTAAAAAAATTTTAACGTAATGCTTTTAAAATTTTTAAGCTACGTATAAGTGGGTTAGCTAGTCTCCACTCAATTAAAAAAATTTTCTATTACTTATATGAAAATGTACAATCAATGATTAAATCACGTGTACGTGTATAAAAGGGTGATGATGAATTTATCAAAAAGAAATAAATAAAATAAGAAAAATTAGTAGAAAAAATTTCAGCTCGTATATATTATTGTCATTATAAATATTTACCCGTTGTGTGCCTCGATGGCCTCGACAAGGCGCAAACTGGTCCAAAGGCAGAGTGTGATCATGTGGCATGGAACCATGGCCGGACCAAGAAATGTTGGAATACCAAATATCAGAATTTCTGCCCAGTGGGTATAAAGAGCTGTAAATCCAAACGAAGCTCGGTATTCATGGTGCACGTAGTGGATTTTATGGTAGCCCCATTGGCTATGGAGCAGCAGCCGATGAAACCAGTAGCTGGCGTAGTCCTCGATAAGGAAGTAAACCAACAATTGACTTAAAACCTCCCATAAAGATGGCAGTGGCAAGCTTGTATGAATCCCAAGCCACTGCATAAACACCCAGAAACGTAAATGAACAACAAAAAGAAAGAAGAAGAAGGACATAGATTCTGTGTTGGTACGAGAGAAAGCGTTGACTGTCCCATGTCGCTTCAACCTACAGTTAGTCATACCTTAATGGCAGGGAAGGAAACGAATTGAAGAGGACCCAACACGAAAGCCAACATCTTCATAACATGTTTATAACAATTAAACATGTCGGAGAATGATCTTTTGATGTCAGGTTGAATCTTGAACTTGGCCATTCTCTTTGACTGACTCAGCTCCATGAACGCACAGGGGAGAGGGACCAAGGAGAACACCAAGATCATGAAAAGAGCATTGTGACTGTAAAGGAGGAAGTCCGATTTCTGAGCTGAATAGTTGTACCATAGTCTCTCCGCCAGGGTTAGGTTTCTTCCTAGAGCCAACGCTGCCTCTTCAAGGGTCTGATATGGCAGCATTTTTCTCCTTTTCGACTTCCTTAACCTTGGCAATACATGCAACAGTATATTTAAGATTATTGTAGCAAGAAATTTTATATATAGTGAGAGGAAGAAAGAGAGATTGAAGGAAATGGATGGGGTGCTTTGAAGTTAGACAAAATCTATGCTTAACAAGTCAAAGAGGGCAAGCTCTTAAGAGAGTGCTCCATCCCAGAAGGTACCACGAGAACTACCACAAAGGTCTTTTCGTATGATGAAGAAGACTTGTTTGATTTTATTATTTTCATTTTGAATCGAATAAAAATTTTATTAAATATCAAATAAAAATCGACATTTACGACAACATATCAAATAAAACAAACTATAATAACATCAAATGAAGCAAAGAAATTACAATCTTCTTCTTTTGATAATTTTTTTCTTTTTTGGGATGATGCTATGTATGTTATGTTTTGAAATTTCAATATGCCCCATTGTATGGATTTTTAGTTTAAAAATTCGGACGTTTTGATTGCAATAAAGGCATGATTCTATTAAAAGATCAATTCAGTAATTTTATGTTTTATATGGGATTCAAAGATTAGGATATTTTGGTTACAAAATTGAATGCTTTGCAAGCATTTTTTTAGAGAAAAAATTAAATTATATTTACTATCTCATTTTACACTATAGTACACAGTCGATGTAATATTAAAATTCATGATTTCCAACCAACAAGGGATACAAGGACACATTAACATCCTCCCTTCTCCAACAAGACTCGCTGTTACAACTGTTATAGTCCACATCAACTATCGATTGGTCTACACCAACTTGCAAAATAATGTCTTTTTTCTCGTTGGCTTCACAATTGTCTCACAAAAAACATATCATATGTTGGAGATGATATGAATCCTTAAATATCCACTCTCACTTACTATGATTAGTGTAAGATTCATAACTCCTCGATAGCACCATGACATCTTCCCTTGATGTGTCACAAGTCCACACTTTCAATCCAAAAAATTAAGCATGTCTATTAAGTACAAGTAAACCCATATTTATAAATAAAAAATTTATTTAATTTCTTATTGACTGAAATTCGTGACACATATATCATACATCTTTGATTTTTTTTTGTTATTTTTTTTTATTCAACTTTACTAAATTTTTACACATTCTTCCATTAGAAGTAGAATCCGAATGGATAGATTGAATTAGATGAAGATTTTGATTGATTATTTGATATGTAACTAGATAAAAACATTGGCTGAATAAAGTATATACTCCACTTAGTATTTATGATCGATTGAAAAATTATACTCTTCCCCTTGGTTTACTACCATAAAAGGACAAGAGCAACAAACTGAATGTATACTCTACATTTTGTTTCATTTATTTCATAATTGAAATTTGAAACAAAGCTTAAATTAACTTGCACGCCGCAGCAATGCCAATTTTCTCCTTTGACCATATTTAAAAATTAAACGATGAGTGAAGTTTCTAACTTGAAACTTTCAAACCAACGAACGAGAGCCGCCTGTAGGATTGTTTAATTGAATTTATTTTTTTTTATTTTTTGCTCTTTTTTTTAATGCAAGACCATTGACTGATTAATGATTTGATTGCTTAATTTTTGTTTACTCAGTCTAAATAAGTATTTATTTATATAAATCACTAAATTAAAGTAAGTGGAAGTCATAAGACTGTCCAATATAAAGACTGCTAGACATACAATAGTTGCACAAGGCATAGCACAATAAGCATATAAAGTGTCTATTTGATTGCTTAATATTGCTTCATGATCAAATGTCTATTTACTTATTGGTCATGATGTGATGATGTGTACGTGCATATCATATATATGCATATATATAAAACACTCAAACACTTAATTGGCGAAAAAAACAATTTTTTTTTTCAAAAGCATGATGTTTGTATTGACTAACCAATTAGGATTTATAAATAATTATATCGAGTCTCTAACCTTTGAACTAATACAGAAGACTGAATGCAACCTAACTAATCAATATGGATAATTTACTAATTTATTGAGTTATTTGCAGGGAACAGAAGATATACAATGAGACATGAAGATTTTATTCGCAATTTTAAATCAGGAGTCTTAATTAATTAATTAAGTTAGCTTTCGTGAACAACAAGTTGATCACAAAAGAGAAAAAAGAATACTTTATTATTTTGTAATTAGAAAACAAAGATACAGATTTTTCACATTAGTGCAGGCAATTGATACGAAAAAATAATAGTAATAATTCACGTAGTTCTTCCAATTTGTTCGTCTTCTTCACATGCCCTTCAACTGCACCAATATAAAATTAGAAAAATATATAAACAGATTATATAAAAAAAAATTTAATATGCTATAAGTGATTTGCAGTATTAATTAGTAAAACCCTCAACTTAATTAAACTTTTAATTTCAGTTCTTTTAATTAAATTAATTTTTCTTGCAAGTAAAAACAATGCAAATTATGCTTATGATCATGCAAATACCTTGTTAAGGGCTTGCTTGTGATGATGGTAACCCTGGTTAGTTAAGATAAATAACTCATTAGTCGAAAGAACTCGAATTAATCTTAAAGAAGTAAAAGTAAAAGTAAAAGCGAATTAATTTGTATACTAACCCGATCAGTTCCATAAATACGATCGCAATAGGTAAACACTGAAGCAAAATTGCTCTGACTTTGCCCTCCAACATAGTGGTGATAATCATGGTATTCTGCGCCTACGTAAAATGGTATGAATTTGGTTGGACTCCAAGGAAACTCATACCTGTGTGCATTAATTATGATTAAATTGCACAAAAACATAGCAACAAAATATTGAAGAAACGGAGAATTTGAGCCTTGCAAATTATGATTTTCAAGTGCAGTTGTGGGAATTCTTTTGGGTTGATTAAGTGTTGAAATCTTGGCTCAAGAAAGCTTGGGTAGGAAAGGAAAAGATTAAGCATATTCATATTTACCCGCTGTGTGTCTGAATGGCTTCAACATGGCGCAAGATGGTCCAGAGGCAGAGAGTGATAATGTGGCATGGAATCATGAGGGGACCAAGAAATGTGGGAATACCCAGAATCAGAATTTCTGCCCAATGGGCGTAAGGAGCTGCGAATCCGATGGGGGCACTGTATTCATGGTGTACGTAGTGAATCTTTTCGTAGCCCCATTTACTGTGGAGCAGCCGGTGAAGCCAGTAATTCGTGTAGTCCTCTATGAGAAAGTAAACTACCAATTGACTCGAAACCTCCCAGAATGATGGCAATGGCAAGCTTGTATGGATTCCAACCCACTGCGATTCAACATCCAAAAAATTGATTTGAAAAGAATTGGTTATCTTATGATCCACCTACTGATCAAGTGCAGTGCAGATTCCATTGTTTACCATTGAAAGTTTCCATTCATACCTTAACGGTAGGGAAGGAAACGATTTGAAGAGGGCCCACCACAACGATAAACTTCTTCATCACAGCTTTGTAACATTTAAACATGTCGGAGAATGATCTGTTGATCTTTGTTTGAACCTTGAACTTGGCCATGTCCTCAGACTTACTGAGCTCGATGAACGCGTAGGGGAGAGGGGCCAAGGAGAACACCAAGCACAAGAAGAAAATATTGTGACTGTAAAGAAGGAAGTCTGATTTATCAGCTGAATAATTGTACCATAGTTTCTCTGCCAAGGTTAGGTTTCTTTCCAGAACCAATGCTGCTTCATCCAGGGTTTGATATGGCAGCATTTTCTCTGTTTTTTGACGTCGTGGAACCTTTATGTATAGATTATAGAGAGGGAAATAATATGTAGGTGTATATATAGGGTGAGAAAAGAAGACTAATATTATAAAGAAAATAGTATTTAATATTCTATTTGGTGCTTGAAAATAATGCATATTTTATTACTACTTGGAAAGACAGAAGAATAATTTACGGAACAGGAAGCTAATAAGTACTATGAACATGACCGGCAGTCACCCACGTCTGGCGGCATAAAACTTGCACGGTGCAACAAAGGGAGCTTTCTTGTCGGAATGGAACACGGCTACAAAAAAATTTGTGCAATTAAGAGATCATGATTTTCTTTTTTTATTATTATTATTATTTAATCTTCACATTTATTGCGCTCATTGCTTGTTTGGCCTACTACAAGATTATTTTACAAGGTGAATTAACAGAAGAAATACATGCAGGAGAGCAATCTTTTGATGCATATATGCAGCTTACATATGTAAATGAACCTTCCAATCTGCTGACACTACCACCACCAGACATATTTGGACAATAAAGACACAATCATCTTTGTTATCCAAGGAGTTTTTTGTCTCCTGAAAAATCCTCAGATCGGATTTGAAAACCAATGACTAACTTAATACAAATAGCAGACACAGTAAAATCTTACAAAGTTTAATGCAAATTGCTTTCAATGTGGTGCTACTACTCAGAAATAACCTGTGGTTGTGACTAGTCAAGTGGAACACCAAATTCAATGGACAGCATCAGGTTGTCTTTCAGGTGAGGCAGCTAAGAATTCGGGTAATGCCCTCTGGGACTCGTATATCCTACTTAAAGTAGGGAACTTGGACTGCATAAACAAACATTAACGTTTATTTTACGTGTATGCAAAGAAATTAAACTGAACATACATTAAGCAGCAGTATTTCTCTGCGATGCATTATCTTAAGTTGGGACCACCATATCAGTGTTCAGTACAAGTTTCTCCAAGCTGGAGTTAACTATGTTAGGTAGCTATCAGTGACAAAAATCTGGTCAAAAGGGGGTGTGATCAGAAAAGAAAAGAAGGATGAATTATATGCGCACAAACCTGGACATTTTCATGTTTGTGCAACTAACCATGCCATAGAATTTTAAACAGAACGACTTTTGAGTACTAATTGAGCATAAAAGTGGCATTTAAATATGCCAAATCATGACCTAAAAAAAAAATAGGGGTGAGGATAAGAGAGAAAGACTACTTTACCATGTCAATCTTAAACCGTTCTGTAGCCACAGCAATCTGAGGTGCCATAAATACATCAGCCTGCAAATGACAAAACCCTGAATTGTTGATAAAGGAATAAAATGAAAGGGAAGAATAACAGTCTAAGATAAAGCATCAAACTAAAGCCAAATGGCCATGCATTCACAGAGTATTAAAAGACAATATTACTACATTGGATAAAGGATACATGTGAGAGAAATAAATAAAATAACTGTCGGAAAGAGTTTACTTCCAAGAACCAAGCAGAAACAACTTCTAGTAATATAAAACCAGCATTCCTAGCTTGTAAAAGTTCATCATGGACTAAGCCAAGATAAATATTGTCTTGATGAACTAATTTTCATGGAGGTTTAATGTATAATCAGGAAATTAAATTTCTATATAACCCATTTTTGTAGAATGGTAATGCATCCTTTAGTTGAGGCATTAATCTAAGTAAATTAAGTTCCCACCAGAAATGTACAACAATTTGCAGAGTCAGAAAATGAAGAGGACAGAGGACTCTAAAGTATACCATGTATACTTCTTCTCCTGTGGCATATTTGCCAACAAAATCTTCCAGCAACTTCTCGAGAGCTGCAAAACAGGGGTAGAATAATTCATGCAAATACCACCAAGTGTGCTGTATTAAGTCAATATTATGCAAACACAAAAACATTCAATTATCAAGCAGATGTTTTGCCTGTACATAATGTGAAACTACGGCCTCAAAATCCGCATTCTCCATCCACAGTCACACATACACAAAGGAAAGTTAAATCGTTGAGGTACTACATTACAGGATTAAAAATTAGACAGATGAAAACATTGAGAACAACAGGAGATATAGGAAGGATATAATGGAGCAATTGATCTCATGAACAAAAACACTTACCAAGGAAACCTTTTTCAATATTAGTTTGAGCAAATAGAAGTCGCTCTTCTGAGCCAACCTTTTCCTCAAGATATTTCTAAGAAAAATGAATGGGGGTAAGACATAGGATTAAAGTATAAATACATCAGCAGCAATGATCCATATAAAGCAGAATATACCAGAATTGACAGCATATGAAGAGGCTGTATGCTAGAGCTAATAATGCTGGCAACCTGTGGCGTGATAAACTACTCAGTGAAGTAGCGCAAGAAAGTCATCAAAATCTCAGCAGACTTCCAAAAGAAAGAGTAGCCAATTACCAAAACACGTACCTGAAGATTCAGGGCTTTTAGCTGGGGATCAGCTGGTAAGAGAGTTCTTTGAGGATACTTTTCCTCCAAATACTAACCAAGAATAAAAACAATAACTTCAGACTTCAGCTCAAACGAAGAACAATGGAGACCTAAGTAAACCCATCTCTCCTTTCCAAAAAGTAAAATCATCTCAAACCATAAACTCAAAGCAAGTCCTTAATAGAAAGCAAGAAAACATGAAGATCATAGCAAATTGAACCCTTTGATGGAACACACATCCCCTTTAGTCAAGATAGTACATGGGCCTGAGGTTCCTAAGCTTAGAGTGAAACCAAGGAAGCAATATTCCATGCAAGAATACTAACCATCAAGATTGCATACGAATCAGAGACTACAACATCACCATCAACTAGAACCGGAACAAAATGGAGAGGGTTCAACCTCTCAAACTCTGCAATACAGACATAATTCTATTAGATTATCGCTCTACATATTAAAATATAATAGGACTCATCTCTCTCTGCTCTTTGAGCTCACCTGGAGTAAACTGCTCTCCTTTTGCAAGGTTCACCGCTTTGTACTCATATGAAAGCCCTACAGATCCATAAGAAAACCAATACCCTTTTAATCAAAACCACTCATGAAACCCAGTAAATTATTATTTCCAACCAAAACCGCACAGAATTTGGAAATTACTGGAAACCTATTTGAATTTAGAGTGAATATTTATGGAACCCAGACCATAAAATCAGGGACAAAATTGTATTAGAACATTGCATCATTCGAGTAGATAAGGTGACAGAATTTGATAACTGATAAACCTTTGAGGTTCAAAGCGAAGCGAATGCGCCAAGCACAGGAGCTCTGCCAGTATGAATACAAAACGAGCTTCGAAGACGCCTCGCCACCGTCTTTCTGCGAAAAGAAAAAATTATTCAATACTAAATAAGGAAGCTTTGCCTTTTAGGAAAAATCGAAAGCCAAATTCTTGGAATTCTGGGATCAATAAAGAAAAATTATGTCCTTAAAACATACCGGTGCCATTGGCTTTGAGTTGAAGCTTCAGACTTGGTTTAGAACATATTGACGCTTCAGTTAAACCGTCCAGTTTCAGCGACATGTCCTTAAGCCGTTGACTTGACGTTGTCAGGAGTAAAATTGTTAGGCACAGTTAAATAATTTGGTTATGCCATGTCAGCAAAGATTTTTTTCCAATAAGGTTCTAATAGGGCCACGAGCCCAAGAGAGTTTCTTTTGCTTTTCTCGTCTCACACAGATTTGTCCCCGTTTTATTAGAAGAAATTTACATATATATATATATATATTATTTATTTATTTATTTATTTATTTTAACTTTTATATATAGATGTATATATATATATATAATATAATTGTGTGTGTATATATATATATATATATATATGGTGTTTTTTCTCATTTCCCTCCAAGTGTTTTCTTGAAAGTCCAGCAAACCAAACAAAAAATAAAAAGGACTCAGGCGCTTCCTGAGCTTGGTTAAGAAAAATGGACAAAATAAATTCAATATATACATACTTATAACAAAAAAAAAAAAAGGTATAATGTTTACTGCACATGAACTGAGAACCAACCATGAAAACCGAAATATATAAGAGGCAAGTCTAGTCCTTGGGTTTTGGCTCTGCTTTAACGAAAAAGCGTCTGGCCTCATCATCTGTAACATCACTGCTCAACGAAACAAAATATGAAAACATAAAATTAAATGGCTTACAAAAGTAAACGAGAGAAATAAGCATTCAGAGAATGCAGGGAAATGGAACCTGTCTGCAGCTTCTGACTTGGAGATCAAAGTGAGTTTCCTGGGGGCAAGAAGTTGCCAGAAATTACTCATTCCTTTCTGCTGGCAATACAGGTTAAGATAGCGCAAAAAATTGTTGTATGGTTCTGGCTCCTGCAAGAGGATAAAGTTTCAAGAATTTCAGTGTAGCGATAATGCAAAATGTTAACTTAGGACCGATAAGATAACAGATTACCACAATGCCCCATGTAGTGAACCAAAAACAGCTCGTAATACATGTTGTGCTGTTTAAAGTCTATGTAACTAATGAAACAAAATGCCAACGTCTCATCTCTATTATTAAATGATTGGAGACTGTCATGTGTTTCTCCATGCTAACCTTCAGGCATAATTCCCTAAGAACTAAGAAGATTAAGTTGACACAAGTATTATGCGTTCAAGCAAAAGGCACCTGATGCATTATAAATTTAGGAAAATGCAATGACTAGCCATCTTGCATTGGCAAATGCAGAGACACATGCACAGAAACAAAGGGAGAGAGAGAAGGAGATACTTGCTCAAGGATGCAACCCTTACGAAGGCCAGCTATACATTCCAGTGCTTTGAGATGATTATCTCCTTCATGGGAATCTGACAGTAGGCCAAGTATCTTATCTCTCATTTCCTTAATTGCTTTCCCAACCCATTCTGGGCTATCTCTTCGAGACATGATGACCTCAAAATCTTGAACAGGAGTTAAATCTCCAATTTTCTCTATCTTAACTACAGGTGACTTTTCAATGGAATTGACAGCTTGAGCAGATACATCTGCATCACCATCTTCGTGATTTGAGCCAGATGGTTTCTCTGGCAATAATAGCCTAGCCGATTTCTTCAGCTGCAAACAGATCATAGTTAATACCTCAATACACAAGTAGAAAAGAAATAAATTCCTTCACTTTACATAATGCAGAATAGACCTTTGGATTTTCCTTGAGTTCAAAGTGTTTACGTAATGCGTCAATAACAGACTTGTTTTCAAAAAAAAGCTCCGGGTCAGGTTCTGTAATCCTCTTTAGGGTTCCATCAAGTGGAGGTACAGCTGCATCCGGTTGCTTAGATTTCAACTCTAGATGATGATAAAAACGCTGGCAATGCATAACGTTCACTGTTAATTTCATTAGAAACAATCATGGTACTTTTAAAAGGAAGAAACACCTTTATCAATCATCATCCCAGAGGCCTTTCAAATAACACTACTTATTCCTGAATGCTAATAACTTCACAACCCTGCCACCTTTCGCAGGCCTACAGCCAGCTACTATGCTATCTTGTCAGACAATAACTCAAATGTAGCACTAAGTCCTAGGTGCTGACTGGGTGGGGAGACCATGGCACCTGTGGAAGGACTCCTGACTATAGTGGCTCTCTTAACACTCTCCTTCTCTGAACAACATGAACCAAACATTTTGTACTTCTAGGCCAACCAGGTAACTATTTGCACTAATCAGTGCATCACATGGAACTATTCATTCTGTTGTATTGCAGAAATTAAGCGGAAGAATGATTTTAAAAGAATCCAGCAAGCATAGGATACAATCAGAAACATGAACAGGAATAAATCAGAGTGGCATATTAAGCATAAATACAAAATAAATGCATATTTAACTACCTGCAGAACCGGATTTGGTGTGAAATCGGGTAACAATGCTTCCTCTTTTCCTGATGGAGCAAGGTTAAGCATTTGCACCAATTCATCTGCTGCCTTTTGCTGCTGTTCATTTGGTTGCCATGAAACTGGAAAACTGTTGACAGAGGGGAACTGATATTCACGAACATCTTCAATAAAAGGAAGTACATTGAAGTAAAATGAATCAGGCTGCACAGAAAAATCAGAGACCATCATGAGTTTCGCTAATGAAATTATTCAAGCATGGATGTGTAAAGTAACAATTCAAGTGAAAGATGCAGTGAAGAAGAGATCATAACCTACAATTTTATCATTTTGTGAAATGTTTGGTGTCAAGACCCCCAGAACAACATTTTGTTGTCCCTGTCTCCAAACACATCGCAACATTGCAACCTTATTCATTTCCTTCATTGCTCTAGCTATGGCAGAAACTGCAAGAATGGCCCTTGTATTGCCCGGCTCAGCAATAAAAAGATAGACATCTTTCATGTAGTAGTGTCTTTGATTAATACACCAAGCAGGAAAGAAAAAAACATGATTGAATAAATATTCATTTGAATTAAATTTCACCTGAACATAATATATTTATCCCAGATAAAGCAACTTCAAGTTTACCGTATTATGTTTGAAGCATCAGTGAATCCCAGAAGCTTCACACCCTTTTCTGGTTTGAACTTGACAGCATCCCATTCAGCAGCTGATATAGGAACTACTTGAGGTCCATAACGGTAGCCTTTAATCCTTTGCTCTGGTGGTACAACTTTACTGGAACCATCAACACTTTTGTACTCATAATCAACCTTGACTTGATGTGTTGCAAACTTATTAGTTTGAGTTGCTTTTTCCGAGTATTTCTTCAGAGTGGGAAACTTCTCCTCTTGTGTTCTTTTATAAACCCAAACCTATGAATCATTAATATTTAAATCAGCATTCTTTTTAACAAAAGCTAATTAGAACCTAACATGAAAAAAATTCATAAGAGCTTGATATGGTATGTAAATATAGTGTCTCAACAACACTATGGAACCATGACGGATGAAAGGCAATGTGATGCAGCCTGCGAGCTGGACTCAGGGAACTTAGGCAAAGGAGGATGAAATAGCATTGCAAGTCTCAAAACAACAGATTTGACTGTCTCACAAAGGCATGACTACCTTCGAGGCCATTGATGCAAATAAGATGACAACTATCCACTCTTAAGAAACATGCATCAACCATGCTTGTCCAAGCACATGTGCACCATCAAGTACAATGCTTCACAAAAAGCCTAAATGCTGGGTAGTCACGGTTTTATTTCCTTAAACATCACCTATTTATTATTAAGCAGAAAGTACCATCTCTCCATGTCCATGCATGTCAGCATCACATGAGGTAAAATAAGAGAACATAATATATGTCATGAAACAAAATTGTCAGAAATATATGTTCAAAAGAATAACAATATGGTCCAATGATATTTGATGTATACGTGATACATGGACAGAGTAGACAATAACAAATAGCGGAGTAGCAACTTCTAAGAAAAAGGTTTATTTAAACAGATCCAAGTATTCTTTTTCTTTGACATTGACATTCAAAAAAAAACAAAAAAACAAAGAGGCCAGGGGGAGAGGGAGAAACAGCAAGAGATCAGGCAAACAAAACTGTAATTAATTAGTTCAAGAGTATATGCTTGACAACTTCTGCAACAGGCCAATGGTCTCACCTTAATCTTCATATTGGGACTGAGCTCAAGATCACCTCTGAACACTGTTACTGGAGTTATTCTTCGGGTTTTGAGTGCTCCTAGCAATGAAGTTGGACTATCAACATACACAGTCCGTGTACAGGTTTGCTTTGAAAATATACTCAAGAGACGATCATTCTCATTCATTATTCTCGTATTTGCATCCTGACTTAACCTTCCCCTCACAACAATACTTTCCATTTTCATGCCTTGTGCAGTCATCTGTGCAGCAATGGTCTCGACCTGATCTTCTTTGGTTCCTTCCAAAGAATCCTTAATAGGATGAATTGCATTCGTAATAAGGCACAGGCGTTTCTTTCCTTTGTGTATGTCTTTATATTTCTTTATCAACATATCCATCCCAACAACAATTGCATCAAGAACTGCCAAAGTTAAGGAACCAACAATGCAGCAATGAGCAGAACAATAGCCTGCTTAAATAGTATTTTTCTTAAAAAACTGTATTACAAAATTTCTTTTAGCTATATATGCCAACAGCTGTTAACTAAAAAGCACAAAACTCTATCAAAATAATAACAAAAGGGACTTGAAAATTTTGATTTTCATAAAGAAAAAGACCATCACTTTTATAATAATACTTCTATCCAAAAATATGACCTAAAAGATTGCATTAGTATATAATATTCTATAAGAAAAGACAAGTCACTTAGAAATAAGATAAACGATAATAAAGAAAACTACTGCAGTAGTATTTCTTTGCTTGCTTCAGATTAGATAATCTAGCAGAACATACAATCAAGAAAAGTAGCGGATACAATCACCATCCACAGTTCCACGAGGCAGCTTTTGTAGAGTGTCAATAAGATCTCCATCAACAACTTTGATATCTTCTAACACCACAATGTTATCATACCCACCCACTTCCTTCGTAAGATCATTGTTAGTTTCTGTAGATTCCACAAAAACCATCATTAAAATAAAAGCTAGTTGATATTGGATTAAAAATAAAAGATTCTCAGAAAAAAAACTAAAAAAATAAAATACAAACACAACCATAAAAAAGGTAAGAGGTACCTTCGGTTCCAAATACCACCACTCCCACTTCATCATTTTTTCTGAAAATAAGCTGTGTACATAAAAGGAGATCAGAAATGATTGTGCTCAAATTTACTGTTAAATTTTGTAATGAAAGTAGAAAATCTCATAGTATTTTGCAAAAATGAGTGTGAGTTAAATAGTTAAAAATTGAAAGCAGTAGGCCAATACCTTCTTCTCCACTAACATGGAGCATACTTTTTCAACTTCTGGAAGAACACTGTGCATCGATGGACCGACATCAAGCAACAATACTAATTTCTCCTGTTCCAACATAATTACAAATTCAATTACTAAGAAAAAGAATAACAAAACCCTAAAACCTGAACGGAATAACATTGCATAAAATAAACCAAAAATACGAAAATCCAAACGGATAGCGAAGAAATGTTAAGATGTGGTGCCTGGAATTTTGAAGAAAGATGAATAAATAGAAAAAAAAAAAAAAGAAAGAAATGAGCGAAAACAAGATATGTTTGTAACAGAATTTGAGGAGCGGCGTTCACCTTGTTTCGAGCCATTGAAGAGCGAGTGAACTCAGCCCCGAGAAGGGAGAGAGAAAGCAAAGCTTGTGGCGTAAGCTCGAACTTGAAAGAAGAGGAAAGGGGAGAAGCCAAGAAGCGGGGGGAGGGATTTTATAGTGTTTAAAAGTTGTTGACTGTTTCCGGCTTCTCTTTCTTCTTCCCGCCCCAGGTCAGCAAGTTTTGCCAAATTACATAATGGTCCCTTAGAAATCTGAACAATTTATAAAGCATCTCCTAGTTTTTTCCCACTCACAATCTAGTTCATTTCTTATTTGTTCTTTTTTTTTCTTTTTTGTTAATTTTAACTGCAAAAGAGAAATGTAGATCAATGATGCCACTTATAACAAGTGCTATAAAAAATATTTATATTTAATGCATTGTTTGCATATATTTTATACGAGTCAAATATTATCATTTCGTAATTAAATAAATTTTAATTTTTTACAAAATAAATATTCATAATTTTAAAAATACTTCACTAGTCTTGAGATTATACTATATCTCATATTTATCATGAAGTAAAGATTGGATGACTACTCATGATGAGAATCTTCCTTTGAGGTTACACATCTTTGATTCTTCACCATTTAATATTAGTGTAATTTTATTTACAGATAATATGAGTGTTTTATGACCTCGAATAACGTAATAAATTTGTACTTCTTTTCCCATTATATATAAAACAAGGCTTTTAAATTTTGACCGTTGCACATTTTTCAACTGACTACGTGTTTGACTCTCACCAAAATTGAAAACTCTCACTCAAATTAGACATTTGTGCTCGATATGCACCATAGTCCAAGCAAGGAGCTTTTGATTCAAACCATCTTCTACTTAGAAGATCCTAAAATAGTGTGTATTTATATATATAAGGTTAGCAATCAAAATGATTGTAAATCGAATTAAGTGATAATGTATAAGTATTATACATTAACATTATATTAAATATAAACAAAAAAAATTGGTGTCATAATTTATTGTTCTCGACATATATTTATGAAGGATTAATTCATTTAATTCATAACTCAAAGGAATTGTAGTGATTGGAATAATCAACATAACAATGACTAAATCCTAATAGTAAACTACCCAACAACCAACCGAGGATGCCATATTGGATTAATTATAGTAATTCTTCATTGAATCTAAATACATTAGTAAAGATTGTAAATTTGATAAATAAATATCTCTCTTTTACTACTATATATATGTATGTATACATATATAATATTACTTAATATATACACACACAATCCATTTAATATAGCTTAGATTATGTTTATAATTGAAAATTTTCTTATATTCTCCTAAAGGTGTCTATAGGCCAAGCTTAGCCTTTTTTTCCTTCTAAAGGCTACGCTTGACATATGAAAAACAGAGAGTAAAATCTAACAATGAGCACATTAGTATATAGGACCATTCAAGCAATTATTTAATTGGGCTAGAGCAAAGTAAAACCTCAAAATCTAAGCTCTAGCCAAAACCCAAAATTTCAATCAAGTTCAATGCCTTTTGTTCAATCTTGCCCAATGTATCAAGAAATGTACTTAAATCCATCTAATAATTGATTAAACTTTCCTCCCGAGCCAGTAAACACTAATGTTTCCATCTAATTTGATCATAAAAAAATAGTATTTTAATTTTATTAAATGATATTATGAAAATTGCATTATTACATGTTATTTTGATATAAATATATTATCTTTATTTTCTTAAAAAAAAAAGATTAGTAGAATATTGTGGCATTTCATAAATTTATATATTACCAGATTAGACAAAATGTTTAAACTTTGAATTGAAGTAACAAGGCTATTCTATTATGCCATGGAGACATTTGTCCTAGAATTGATGCCTTGTAGAATTGAAAGTAGCATGCTGACAGAATTGCAATATATAAGGATACGGTTGAAGGGCAATAAAAACTCTTTAAAATATAAGAAAAAAGAGGGAAAGGTCGGTGAGCGCATTTGGTGAACTAAGGAAGCAAGCTACACTAAAACGGCGCCGTCTGAAGCAACATGGCCGGTGGTGTTCTGGCTTTTCATCTCGATAAAATGCTAAACTAGCCGCGCAGCCAGGAGGCGAGTGAGCGAGACAGAGACAACAACGATGGCATCAATGGCAGCAACACCAAGCATTTACTCTCACTACAACAACAAATACAAAAACAAAGCCTTCAACCAGAAAATCTCAACCGTTCCACGAATCGTCCTTTCTCAATCCCAGGAGTCCGACAACAAATCCGACCACCAGATTCCTCGAAGGTAAGTTCCCCTCTCGGTATAAATAGTTCAAAATATTCATCAGAATTCGTGCCTGCTTTGAAGCTGAACTTTTGCTGTAATTTTGAAGGGAAATAATATTAAGGAGCAGCGAATTAGCTGTCATCGGGGCCATTTTTAGCTTCAGGTTTTTGTGTCCACACCCTCTTCTTTCCTCGTCTGCGTTTCTAATTTTTGGGTTCTGAAAATGGCTGACGAGTACCAAGCTGTGATGCAGTGGGAAGAAGCCAGATTATCTTGGGGTGCAGAAGAATCCGCCAGCTCTGGCGCTTTGCCCTGCTACCAAGAATTGCATATCGACGTCTGAGAATGTCAGCGACCTAACTCACTATACTCCTCCATGGTAACAGCTCTCTCACTTGGCTTGAAGAGAAAAAAGTAGTGTGAACAATGTGCGCCGACGTTTTTTATACATTAGTCAAAAACAATGTGATGCACGTTGATTTTTTTTTTTTTGAACAGGAACTACAACGGAGGGCGTAACAGGAAAAAGCCTGTGACTCGAGAAGTGGCAATGGAAGAGCTTCTTCAAGTGGTAAAATTTTCAAGCAGATTACTGGAATTACTTCAACTCTCAGGTTGTCAGAGTAAAATGGGTAAAGCCTAAAAATGTTTATACCGTATCTTGCAGATAAAATCAACAAAACCAGACAAATTTACTCCCAAAATCGTTGAGAAGAAGGACGATTATGTGCGTGTGGAATATGAAAGTCCTATATTAGGGGTAAGTAGGTTTTAACTTCTTCTATTACCAAACATAATGAACACGACATGCATATTGGCTTAACTGATTTTCCTTTTTGGTTCACCAGTTTGTTGATGATGTCGAGTTCTGGTTCCCACCGGGGAAGAATTCAATCGTGGAGTACCGATCAGCATCGCGGATTGGAAGCTTTGATTTCGATGTCAACAGAAAGAGAATCAAGGTAATGTTCTCCTACATTTCTTGATCTTTAGCGAGTTTGGTCACAAATAACTTTGCACTACCGTGTTTTACCTAACAGGCATTGCGACAAGAGTTAGAGAAGAAAGGATGGGCTTCTGAAGAAACCTTTTGAAGGGCCTGCATGCTTGTTTAGTTGATCAGAGGAGAAAACAACATTGTACTCTTAGTTTCATTTTACAGAAACGGAATCGTGATCATGGAATTGACCTGTTGACTAGAAGAGTCTCAAGCTTTTGCATTAAATCGTGGATACAAGATTTTCTTTTTTGTTTTCAAGCTGTTATCAGCAGAGCAATGGCATTATCATACTCTCACATTCCAACAGGATTAGGTTTTGGACATCAATTCATTATCCAATTTGTCAAACAAAACCCAAAGTGGAACGACATATCTATTAGTTTGAACACCAAGAAGTGGTCATGCCATCCATAAAACCATTATCCAATTCTATTTTTGCCTAACAGCAGAGAAATCAGATAAAATCAACTGCATAATTTAAGTATCAATGTCTCGTCATCGTCTGACTATACGAAAATAGTTCAAAACAAGCATTGACCGCATTAACATCAGAACAACGGTAAAATGCAACAACCATTCCATCAATTCCAGTATTCCACTTCTGTAAGAGAGCCCCTAACCTGGTTTGGAGTAGTAATTCATCAATCTTTCCTAAGATCCATGTATTCACGGTGGATACCATCAGCATTTATGACAACAATTTCAAGCTTGTCTCCCTGTTAAACATCCATGACAAAAAATAAAATGTAAAACCGTTAGAGATGGACTTGACATTATTAGGACTTAGCAAGATTCAACCAAGACCAATAATATAAAGGACTCCAAGCCCGATTAGGGAGGGAAAATTTATTTTTGGAAGGTAACTTGAGGGTAGGACATATGTGATCGAATTTTTCCATGCTCTAGATCTTGAGATCATGAGAAAGCCCAGTTGGTAACAAGGGAGCTCATATCATCTAAGGCACTTGGGATCAGCACCTTGTGCAGATACAAATGAAGTCTTTCAAATTCTCTATAAATTAAATATGCCTCAAGCCAACGGCATTCTGACCAAAATAAGCTCAAAGTTGATGCACCTTTAGTAGAAATCCAAACAGAATTCTCAAGAAGGATCTAATTCAAAATGGTCTAAGCATAAGAAAGTAAGCAATAAAAGAAGACACAAGGGAACTGGAGACATGAGAGACGTCAGCAACAGCCATTAAAACAGCCTTGTGTCTAAGCAAATTTGAAGTCATTTAAAAAGAACAGAATAAATCAAAAGCAGATTGTTTAAGACATGGCAGTATGGTTCCAGAATTATAAAACAGCCTTTCTAAGTTTCCAAATTATAGAAACTAAATAAATAGAACTTACAGTGTATATATCCCTCTCAGATGCTGATGCAAAAACAGTTTTTACCAAATCAACAGCTTCCGCTTCCACAAGTGGAGTAACAGCATCCTGCAACAAGCCATGGGTTTGAGATGAAGACATGCGTAGGGTAAAATTAATCAAAACATACAATATACAAAATTAGGAGCATACCTGGGCAGGCAATAGGAGAGGGCTGGGAGATTTTAGTTGGTTATCCAAGAAAGGCATGATGAGCGTCGAACCAGAACCTTGGGAGCTGTATCCAACTTTCTCGTAGGAGCCGACAGCATCATATGTGAAGACACAACCCTTTCCTAATGGTTAAGCATAAACACATTAGTTCTTAATCTAAAGAAAGGCTGAAAACTAGCAATTTCAAAGCAGATTACCTTCATTATCAAGACCACCCAAAACATTAAAGGAATAATAAGGAAAGAAGCGCTTGTAGTAAAGGGTGTTGGACAGCAGTTGAGCCATTGCAGGGCAGCTCATTTGCTTGTTGTGCTGATGCTGATAAATCTGCATTTTGAGAAGCACCATTAAAGTTATATTTACCTTACTAGCTGCAGTACTTGTTTACAAGTATTACTGATCATAATTTTGTTTTAGTTTCTAAGCTACATCAAACTTAATTGCCTTTGGCTTTTGAAATTATTGTAATACAGTTTTAATGCAAAAGTCAATTGAAGCCTACATCCATGTTCAAAAAAACTGTTTCATCATATCCTTGAAAGTTGAAACCTTACCAAGTGCCTAGCTGCCAGATGCTTTTGCAAAGCCTTCACATCAGCTTGAAATCCTGAGGATGCCATTACACATTTATCTGCTCTGCAATGTTGAAGTAAGAAACACTAATGAGAAACCCAGACGAAGAAGAAAGAAAAAAGCTGAAAAAAAGTCAAGTCCAGCATTAGACAACTATTATTCCACCTCTTTCCATCTCCAGTAACACTTATTTAGAACAATAAGAAGGACCAAGTAAAGTGATATTCTCTAAGGATTATCTATTGTCCTCCAAACATTCATACCACAGATATTGGTCTACTGGGAGAAAGAATAAGCTATGCCATAATCTTTCTCCTTACCTTAACTATTTGGCTCTGAAACATGTGGGTTGCTCTCCTCTAGAGTTACATAACATTAACATCACTCAAACAGCTACCAAACATATGTTGATAGCTTGTTGGAAAACTTGTTCAGTTCTATACCCTTATTTTAACCGAAAAAGGAATCAGCTATCGGATCCTTTCAACCATTGGAGGCAAAACTACCTTAAACATTCCATGACCAACAATCTTCTTTAGTAAATTTCACCAAATTTCTTAATTTCTCTATAAGTGTCAAATACCTTTTATTCAATATAGCTAACTAGTTTGAAAAGACTAAAACTTGGTAATTCTAGTAATTAGGACAAGAACAGATACTATATGCCACCAAAAAAAGGGGGGCCTTTTGTGCTTTTTTCTGTAACTAAACAATTGAAAGACTATTACATTCAGAAAAAAGTATTAGGTATTTCCTACCCCAAAGTTCTATTGCTTTCAATCAATTTCTAGTTAACCTTTCGATACTAAAAACAAAAGTATTGGATGAAAAAAGAACATACAGTTTACAGAGTTTGGAGTAATCGCGGGTGAGAATATTGTAACCGGTAGACATTCGAGTATCAGCCGCGACAACACAGTAATCGGCTCCAGCGATCGCAACGCAAGATCTACAAATTTACCAAATAAGCATAACATCAATAAACAGCGAAATCGAACGATAATAACAAAAATTAAAAAAGAAAACATGTTTTTAAGGTTGGCATACCCTCCATTGTTGTCGTAGGGACTCCAGTTGGCTTGCTGCTTGGTCATGGTGAAAGAAGCAGAGAATGACTCAGGTCGACAAAGAAGGAAAAAAAATTGAGAAAATAACTGTAATTTGGAGGACTATTATTTCCTCAGATTTAAGGTTAGCTTTGCCAACAAGAAAAATAAAGGTAGGAGCCTTTTATAGGGGGTTGGTTGGGTTTTAGGCCCATTCAGACCCAAACCCAATCCGAGTGGAATTACATTAAAATAAAACGAAATAAAAACTGAGATTAAGGTTTGCAAGAGAGAGAGAGAGAGAGAGAGAGGGAGAGAGAGAGGGAGAGAGGGGAAGAAGGGCCATGGCGAATCTGTTCGGATGGCTCATGACCTTCTTCTTCCTCGTATCTCTTCTCTCCATTATTGGTTATCAGGTCAACCCTTTTTTTTTTGTGGTTTCTCCTTTCATTTTAATCACAATTTAATTAATCTTAAATCCTCATTTCCAAGCTTTAATCGTTAATTTTGGGATGATTGGCATTTTGCATTGCAGCTGATTTGTTTCGCTGATCTGGAATTCGATTACATTAACCCTTATGACTCGGCGGCGCGGATAAACATGGCCGTGATGCCGGAGTTCGTAGTACAAGCCGTTTTCTGTTTGGTCTGTCTAACGACAGGACATTCTTTTATGTTCTTCATGTCTCTCCCAAACTTATACTATAATTTCAGATTGTAAGTGCCTTTTTTGTATATATAATTTCTTTTTTTCTTAACCAAATTACCCTCAAAAACAAAGAAAAGGGGTTTCATTTCTCTGAATTCCTTAGCACTTTGCGTCGTGTTTTCGGCAAATTATTGCAAAATCTGATATGAACTGTAATTCAATGAACAGGTACGTGAGGGGAGAGCACTTGGTTGATGTAACCGAGATCTTCAATCAGCTGAGCTGGGAAAAGAAGCAACGACTTATCAAACTCGGCTATCTCGTAACCCTTTTAGTTGTTTCTCTAGTTTGGTAACGCGACGACATAGATTTTTGGTTATAGTTGAATTGCATTTTGGCCTTTTTCAAGCTACGTAGGTACATGCTAACCATGCAACTCCGTTCTTCATAATCCGTTTCAGGTTGATTTTGACTGTAGGAAATGATAATTACTGAACCGGCTTTGATCGCCCTGTTCCGTAAGTTTTCATTTATTATCAATTGATTTTATGTTTAAAAATCATGAGAAATTGAATTTGATATTATTTTTTATTATTTTTGTTTTTGTAGTAAATTATCATATGAAAGACCTGTTGATATTATAATAATTAAAAAAATTTATATCAGTTTAAGTTGAAAATATTTTAAATACACAAGCATAACAGAAATCTCACTAACTATTATCAATTGATTTTAAGCTAAAAATTTAATGGAGAATGGGATCTTAAGCTAATTTCAATTTTCATTTTTGGTTCATGGAAGTATGAATTGCTCAGCAAAGCTTAAAATGTTAAGAGGCTAGCTCGGCCTCTGCCTAGACTCTAGAGGTTGTATTGCCCGAGAGGCTGGCGAGAGGCCCGAGAGATTGAGTTTGGAGAAGCCTCGAGCTGGATCTGTTGGTTTCCAAATGGTCCATAAATGCTGTCAGATTGGGCTTAGGTGGGCTGAACTGGCCCTGGATCATCATTTAGAGTCCGCAACAGAGCTGACAACATTAGATATTAACCCACAAATAGTATAGCCTACTGGATTGGGGTTGCTATTGTCAGATAGTCGATGGGTACAATTCGATAACCTTTGAGTTACATGCAAGTAATGAACGAAGAAGCCCTAAGCTAGCTTGGCATGATGGCCACCATCTGTAAATAGCAGTCTAGCTAACTCAAAAAACAAATCTAAACTTTTTAACCAAAGATTAAGACATGAATGAGCTTACAATTTACCAACTTTTCAAATCCTTTTGGAGGATCCGTATGTTTACAGGTTAAAAGATTTCAAACCTTGGGGGGCAACTAGGCTTGCCGCCTTTGCTGTCAAGAAATTGATTGGAAAAAACAATGTGTCACCCCCTAACGTGTTAGCAGAAACAATGCTAAAATCAGCTGCTGATCAAGCTACAAGGCAATGTGAAACTAGGGGTAATTAGGCCTCGCATTACCAACTGTTCATTTGGATTAATTGATCTTTTGTTTGAATATGCAGAATTTTGTGGATAAAGTTGGGAGATTTATCCGCTCAGGAAGTGATGATGCTGCGAAGTTGGTTAGGACATTAAGGTAAAGACAAGTGGAAAAAATGGGAAGTCAAAAGAGGATCATGCTCCATGGCACATGCAGTCCAAGCAAATATTCTAGAGAACTGTTTTAGGTGAATGGTGAATTGAAAAGAAACATGAAAATTTCTTTTGAATAGTCAAAAAGTGAAAACAGAAAACAAAATAGTTATATAAACTAATCGTAAAGCTACTGATACAATTGATTAATCTATGTCTAAGTATAAACTTTTCTGCAGTAAACTTCAGACTATATGAAACAAGCAGCCTAAACCTACCAAAAACTGGTATGATCGATATAGTTATTTAGGGTCGTACAAAGATTGGCTGATAGGATTGAATTCTAGTTATTTTCATACTTGGATACACCCACGTTAGCTTAAGCAAGTTGTATATCTGTCAGGACTGGGGATCACCTGACCTAACCCCTAGCTGACCCGCCCTGTAATAAAGAAATAGCAAGTTAATTTACTGAATTATTTCCATGTTCCTCTTTCAATTTTTCCAACTGAAGATGACTTCTCATTTGATTGTAAATCTATATCGGAATATATAGCTCCCTTTACTCACTTATTTTTTATGACTTTAAAGTGTTTTGAATTGTTGGAATTTCCTTTGGGAATTTGATTTTGTGGCTTATATACCTTTGTGAACAGACCATGAAAGAAATCACACACTACACTCAACAAAGTCATTCACATCAAATTACAATAAAAAGAGAGGTATCATTCTCGTAATATCAAAACAAAATGTCTGTTTAAACAACTTATAAAAAAACAAAGAATTAAGATAATTAACTATTTCGATATATTACAATTGCACAAAAAATATTTAAAATTAAGTTCTGAAAAGATAAATAAGTTAAAGATCGACCATAGCTAATGTTTTATGTACATTTTTCATTATGGTACAAGTATAATATGCATGCTACATTTCTAAATACACATATTTTGGACAATTTGTTGATCCCAATATTAATTTACGAAAACCAGCTACATTTTCTGATGTGTTGTTATTATATGAACATGGGGAAAGCTAGCTTTGAGAGTTGAGACTAATTAACTTGCTGTTATGCAGAGAAGGCTCTCGGTAAGTAACTCCTCTCTCCATTTCCTATTGACCTTGGCTATGAATTCCTCTATTCTTCTTTCCAAATCATTATCTTCCTCGTCTTCTTCACTATCCTCATCTTCTGTATCAAGAACATCATCATTGTCTTCGTCATAGCCGTCATAACCATGATACCCGTCGAGATCCTCGATGTCACTGCCATCGCTGCCATGGTAGTTATCATCATTTTCTTCGTCTTTTGTATCTGTTTCATATTCCAAAGCTGGAGGAGAAGTGAGCTGATGACGACCAGCGTCTTGATAGTGATCTGATGGCTTAGGGCGTCCTATAAAGACAGTGATGATGATAACGTTGAACATGACAAACACAGCTACTCTACTCCTAGATTTTGGTACATCGATGAAGTCGTGGATGGAGAAAAGAAGTTCATGGTGCTTAGGGACTGATGAGAGTAACAAAGTGAAGAAGATCATGAAAGGGATACTTAGAAACCAAAAGGCAGGAAACCTAGCTCCCTTCATGCCCAAAGAGGATATTTTTCACTCTCTTTCCAAGCGGAAGGAGATCTTTCTTTCATGGCACAGTTGTAGTGTGTGATGTTATTGAGAGACTTCAATCACTAAACAGTGGGAAAGGTTTGCTAACCAGAATTGAAAAAGGATAAGGTAAATGGTTGCCAAGGAAATTTCTCAGCAATCACATTCTGTCGAAACTTCCATGTTTGTGGTTATGATCAATTCTACAACCTACCTATATGTCAGTTTCGGTCAAATAATCGGCATTTTTAAAACCAAAATGAACAGTTATTTAATGTTGTTAAGGACATTTCTCAGCGTTCACATTGTGATAGGAACAGGAAACCAAAGGGAATGGTTACAGCACTTTGCAATTTTAAGAAGAAAGTGACGTAATGTAGGTTGGATATCTGAATCTTGTGGAACGCTGCAGAATATTTAAAGAAAAGGTTACTTGAGACTTAAAATATGTGGGCACCTAGCAGCTGGAGTTAGTCAACTTGTCATCTGTTTATTTATGTGGCAGTAGATTTATCCAAAACCCATGAAGTCTCTCGCTTTCTCATTAATTTACTCTCGACGTGGGTCAGATGTCCAGTCACAACATTTTGGATTCATCTTAGCCTCATTTAATTGCACAAGTTAATCGTTGGCCGTCTAATCTGGTCTGGTCTCATTTGATAATTGGAGCAGATGATAATAACATATAGAAACATATACACACACACACACATCAATTTACAACAAGTCTAGGAAATCTATCCTTTGAAAAGTCTTGCTAGTGGATCATTTTGGTAGTTGATTTTATTGATGGTCATGCTATTCTTTAACCTCCAGGCCCTCTTGATTCACGGAGGAAGAACGTCACCCATCTTGCATCATTACAAGGCAAAGGTGCTGAGCTGCATACCGTACAAATCTTTGAGTGGGTTGCTCAACCATAAACCAAATGTAGGTGGAAATAGTTGTCAGTCACTACCAGTGGAGATCATTTTCATATCATTGCATGTGCCATTGCCAAAATTCCATAAATATATTGAAGAAAATAAGGATGTTAAAAATCTTTTAAATCATGGGTTTTATCAATGAAATGAGATTAAGAAAAGAAGACTAAAAATTCACTACTCCTTAATTGTCATCGATAAATTCATCAATCAGAAAAAGGGATGTCTCCTCGCCTGGAATAATAAACCTAGCCGGATATCAGGGATGCTAATCCTATTCTATCCTACAGTAACATTCGATAACACATACACTCCACCGGTTGTGAAGAAACATCAGGGAATCGATCTAGTCAGACTCTTGAGATGAATTGACTGTGATTTTATCAAATTAACCTGCGGGCAAAGAAATGTTGATATCAGTTGCTGAATTTCTTGGCTCCTGCATGGTGGCCCAATTTTCTCTTCGGAAGGCCGGGGTCGTAAGGTTCGGTTTCAGGGCACTTGTATTTTGTTGTGAAAGTCCACTTATGCCATCCTCTTTTTCTGCATTTGAAGCAGGTTCAGCAACTACAGTCGAGTTTGGTGCGACGGTAGCTGGTACAGACTCATTTTTCGGCTTCTTGGGTTTTTGGTCATGCTGGTTGCCCGGTAAAAAGCTGCCTACCACAACCTGATAACTCAACAAAACATTAAGCAAAGTGTTCAAGACCAGCATTCATTTCAACATAACTCAAAGACTCTCCTTAAATTGTTCAGGAAACCACATAAATGTCTGGAAATGTTAGAATGACCAAAGACCAATTCCACTTTTCGAAAACTTTGACGCAAGTCTCATGCATGTTTGTTGACTCATGCAAATTCTTGTTCTCGTAGGCAAGGATGCGTCTATTCAGATGCTCAGCATGCTGCTCAGACTAGTACCAGTATGAGAGCCAATAGACAATCAATCAGACATCACTTGCAGCAGGAGAAGCGCCCACATTAAGCATATTACTGCTTCTAAAATATAAACGCAAGTTTAACACCCAAACCACTTACCTGTACAGGACTGGCAGCCACCAAAAGCCCAGCAACTCCTCCCCCTACAACACGGCCATCAGGGCTTGCCAAAGACACGCTCATCCCACCAGAGCGGCTTCTTGCTCCTTGAGTTTCTGTCGGCATGAAGGATCCAGACAAGGAAAGTATTTCAAAGCGACCCTACAAGAAAATATAAGGATGACGGATTTTCCTTTTTTAAAGAATTTGAAAATCAAAACACCATAAGAAGTTCATTAACAAACAAATCTCTTTCTCTCTCTTTCTTCCTCCCATACAGATGAGCTGCTGGTTACTAAGATTAATCCTAAAATCCCTCATCATAATTGCAAGTTATGCCCCTTCCTGTCCCTTCAAACAGTATGTCTTAGATATTTTAATTCATGAGTATTCAGCAACAATTTGATCTTTATGTGACATTTTTATCTTTGTAGCATGACTATTTCACACAACAAAGTAGCATTTGTCTTGGAGAATGATATGAATCATCTGCTTATGATCAGCTACTCCGTCAAAAGCACTGATAATTTGAAACTGGTCATGACAAAATGGTTGCTGGGTAGAACTTCAAGTTACACCAGAGAATTATAAGTAAATTCTCAACAGCATACATCTTTTTCAATGTACCAGCTCATTCTGAACATTCGTAGACATAAATAAACCTCTAAAATTAATAAGAGTACCAGTTCAGAGAATTATCTCTTCACAGATCATATCTTCTTCAATAGCTTGACAAATTTATACACACAAAAACACTCCTGCAAACATTAAAATCATACATGTTTTACAATTTAAAATATCTGTATCGTTTCAAACCCTGTTTGAAGCACATCATGCAACAAGCCTTGATTCATATCCCAGAATCAAACACAAGCATAGATGCACCAAACTTCTTTTAATAAATAACAAACTTTGCATACATTAGTGAAATACTAAACTTTCCATACAAACTATAAATATTATTGAAACTCCACATATTTTGGAATGTGATGGTAATATCTAATTTGTCTAACCTCATATGTCAGAGTACCCCCAGAAGAATCAGGCTGACGGAGTGTAACATTTGAAATTACTCCATTAGCAGATAGAATGCAAATAGCTCTTGGTCCTTGTTGAGAAAATGATATCACCTTCATCGTTACATCCTTAAAGACCACAGAAAATCAACGATGAAGTTAGGAAAAAGGTAGATTCAGTGATGAAGAATACCCTCCTGAACATGGAGGAAAGAAAAGAATAGATAAAAATCCCACCATTAGAATTATCTTTAATGTGAATCTCATAGTTCAAGAAGCAAAACTACGATAACAAACACCTTAGAGATCAACAAATTCTCCCCAAACACAAAACAAAATTAAACTCCATGTATTCTCTGAGCATAACCTATTAGATGTTAGTATTTTACTAATTCTTGTAATAGTTCAGCCTGTTGGAAATAGACTTCAAGATTTGTCAGTAGCCATGTGTCAAGGACTAAGGTTTAGATCTATGAACAAGGAAAAGATCCACCACAATCTGAAAGATCACTAACAGCCACAAAAAGAATGGACCCAGAATACAGCTTTGACAATAATAGAAATGAATGATAAAAATATTTCCCTCAAAGCTTTACAAAGCTATTCTCCTATCTGTTTCCCTATCTAACATACCTCACCAGCATTGACAGTGATGACATGTGGCGTAAAATTTGTTCCAACGGAAGTAGCAGCCCATTCGCCTACAAAACAATTAATAAACATCTGTAAATATGGAATTTTGCTGTTAAGGTAAAAATGTTACTTTAGCGCTGTTTGTCAAGCTAACGATATAGATCTAGTACATGGTTGAGATTTGGCATGAAGTCAACAAAGGATTTCAACTCGGAACAAGCAATGTATTTATGCAACAAAGCCCGTTAATGCTTCAGGAAGCCAGATTCCAGAAGTTCAGGAATAGAAACATATTTTCTGTCTCCTCATCCTTGGTAAGTAAAAGACATTACCAATCAAGCAATCTTGCTGGGTTAACAGGTTTCATTCTGTTTCTATCATTGGGAGCATCTTGAAAAATCCGTGATGGAAAGGCAAGCAGAAACAAATCTTAGCCAAAAGAAGAATATTCCTCAACCTCACACGGTCACAACAACCCCACAGAAAGGCCACTTTTTTATTCACAGAACCAGCATTATACTTCCAAATCTGAAAAGAGCATCTCTTGATAAGGTCCCACAAAAAGTTTAACAAGTATTATTAGGGAGTGACTTCATATATGGAATCTTTCGAAGAGGCATTCAGAAAATTCCAAATAAATCAGGAGATCTGTTTCAAAACCCTAGTGCAGAACCAATTGGACTTAGTTTGAAGCATACTCCAAGAAACAAAAACGAAACCAGAAACATTACTATCCATACAAAATTTATAACATGAAATTTGTACGATCCTCAGCAAATCCACATAGCAAAACTCAATCTAAACTAACATGCTAAAATTTGAATTAAGTAAGAAATAACTTTCTTCAAAAGGGCTTATTACCTAAATTCTCCATTTCCGTTCTCTTCTGATGCTTAATCTGGTAACCACTGCCTCGCCCTCTTCCCCGCTTTCCTCCACTAGAGAACTCACCTCCTCCGGGCGGGACAGATGTGGAAATAGGCATTGGCGACAATGCCCTGGCAATTGTCCCATCTGGTCCATATTTCCTAGGCCTACCTCTCTTCTTCTTTTCCGTACTTCCAGTCAAGCCTACACTAACTGGCGAGGCGTCCACTGTCGTTGAGCCACCACCAATCTGGTTAGTATTCTCTGTCCTTGGTGCCATGTGATAAGCTGATGGAGCTTCTGCTCCTATCACTGTAACTCCTGAATTTGACTCCATGCATATATTGCACAAAGAAACTATTCACAATAACTACAGCTAACTTACAGAGTCACAGCCAACCACCTACAGAACAGAAATCCATCAATCAAAATCAGAAAACTGACAATGAACACAATGTTCCCAAAGTAAACCCAAAACTACTGATTAAAAGAAGAAAAAGAATAGTTATTTGGGATAAATTCAGTGTTCTCTTTGACCTGCTGCTGAAACAAAGATTGCTCTAACTTTGAAATTCATTAAAAATTTAGAAACAAGAAAAGATGTAAAACAGTGTCAGAAGATAAAATTTTCATGAAAGTTTACACTTTTACACAAAATAAATTTACTTTAAAAAAGAATGCTCCACCATCTTCTAACCCAAGTTGCAATTTTAAGAGATTAGGAAGGCTGAAAACTTCTAAACACAAAGATCCTCAGGAAAAACATTACAGAATAAAATTTAATGAACAGTTACAAGTGAAACTACTTTACTCAAACCTTTGCTTTCTGTTTTCTTCACAAGATCAAAGTCTTTTAACACAAATTAAAGAATACTTACATAATCAAACTAGAAACACTGCCGATGGTTAAAACATGAAAACATTCCAAAAACTAACCAGATTAACTTAACTTAAATTTGTTCTAAGACTCTAAAAAAAAATCAAACTGTAACTCAAACCAAAAATAAGAACTTCAATTTTCATCTTAAAGAAATGATAAAAGAGAAAATCATTAAGGGAAGGAATTTTTTTTTTTTACAACAAACAAACTTTGAAGTGAAAAGATGTTAAAATGTAGAGATCATGACCTGTAACTTATAAGTACAGCCCAGAAAACTCTTCAATGACACTGTTCCTCTCAACTCCTTCACATTATTCCAGTACCGAAAGCAAAGTACTTTCAAACGCTTTTTTCTTGCCAACCAAACAGAATTTTTTTCCAAAAAAATATAAATCTAAACTACAATAATAAAGAATAAAAATAGAAACTGTTTGTTTGCTGAGAAAAATATAAACTGTTTTCGATTATAAAAAAACACAAACACTGGTTTCAGAAAAACCGCTGGCCGGTTTTTTTTTTGTGTTTTCCCTTGTCTGAACAGAGACTTACTTTGAAAGAACACAGGGAAAAATAAAAAGTGAAAAATACAAAATATGAATAAATAAAATATTATAACAAGGGGGTTAAAATAATATTAATTAGTAGGTAAAATTGATAACCCCGATACATAAATTTTGGTTAAGGGGGAATTTCACGTCCGTGAGGGGAAAATTGAATTTTGAAAAATTGAATTAAAAAGGGGTAAAATAGTAAATTTAGTCAAAAAAGATGGGGGAATTAAGTAGGAGAAAAAGTAAAGCAATTAACTTTCCTAAAATAATATTATCTGTGTCTTCTATTTTAAGCTGCAAAGTTGGCGTTGGAGGGCCGACCCTTTTATTGCTGCTGACCTGCTTTTTGTCTTTTTCGGCAAATAAAGTATGAGCATCTTACATTTTGCCCTTTGGTTTTTTTCTTATTGACGCTTATGCCACCCTAGAGTGTGGACTTTCTTTTTGTTTTTTGGAATTTCTTCTCATTTTCCATCTGGTAATTACTAGGTTGGTGACTGAGTAGTGATTGCGTCACCTGAGGGTGAAAAGCAGATAGCTGATGGTAGAATATGATTGGATACTCTGGCACGCGACTCCGATGCCTTCTGTAAGGTTATTTTTGCGCCTTATGGACAGTCAGGAATTTCTAAAAAGAAATTTGAAAATTTTGGATCCAATTTTTATTAAATATATATTTTATTATTTATTTAAATTGAATCCCCATTTGCTGGGTTCCTCAATTATGTCACATTAAATAAATTTGGATCCAACTCGTTTACCCTTACCTAATAATTACCCGAATTTAAGTTTTCCGAGTATGTAGTTAGAATTTGGCAAAATCGTTTGCCTTTTCAATATTCAAACTCAGAAAAAAAGACCAGTAGTCAACATTTCCACGTCAGTTTGTCAAAGGGCCTTAAAATTCGTTACCTCTTCAGGTTACAGGCAAAAGAAGCCGAGTAGATGTGAAGACAGCATCCTTCTCATTAAATTAAATTAAAATGCCTTGCCAAACTAGCCGCGGCTGATGGCAAGCTGTATAACACGACTCGAATTAAAAACTCATGGAAAAATTCTTGTCACAGATGCAAGAATCTGATTGGCTGGTGAATTTCAGCAGAGACCCCCGTCATGTGCGAGACAGTCAAATGAAAATCCTGAACTAAGTTTGGTGGACTAGTTATGTTACACTTGTCCGAGGTATGCCTGCCCGAGAGACAGCCACGTGGATACGGAGTGCGACATGCCTATCAGTACAGCGGGGCCCCTACTCTTTGAATCTTTTTTTAAAAGATTGTTTAAGATAAGCTGTACCCAACTTACACTGACCGGTATTTGGAAATTTTGGATTTGGTCTGAGCGCCAAATAAATGTCTCCACCGAAAAGAATCGAGGGCCGTCCTTCCTGACAAGTGCCCGATTGTCACTGATGAAACATTCAATACATTTGCAAAACCATCAATTCATCGAACCTTTGTCTATTGTCCAAAGCATGATCCGAAATCAACACTCTCAGTCAAATGGGTTTTGACACTAAAAAAGCCAATCAAATTGACTTTGTTACCACGCAAGTGGGGAGTGGAAGTCTTTGCTTTTTTTCGTTTTTTGAAAAAGGTTGACTAGGAGATCAGTCCCACTTGACGCACGCCACATTGGGGTTTTACTGGGGCCTTAGGATAGGACAAACCCAGCCCTTAACTCTTCAAACGAGTATTCAACTTGTTGGACTCGTTCCAACACATTTTCAACTTTGTAAGCACCCAGAGTTGCTGGAGTAGCTGGCGTCATTGCCATAAGCATAGGAGCTGACACTGTTGATGGAGTTGTTGGCATTGGAATCGGCATTGCCTTCGGGGTTCTGTTTTCATCGTCACCAATCAAGGTTGGCTTGGCAGGTACTCCCGTTGGTGTCTGGCAGCCAGGATTTAGTCTTTGTCCGTTCTTCACTTTCTTCTGATCTTCCGTGAAATTCACAATGTTGGCATTGGAGTTCACTGCAAAAGAAACGGGAGAAAGAGGCTTTCGAACTGCTGGTGACTCATTCTCACGCACCTTTGCTGCACTTAAGGGTTGCTTTTTTATTACACGACCAGGAACCTCAGAGTTTCTCTTAACTACAAAAGGAGAAGCAGAGAATATGTTTCCAATGTTATATGTCTAAAATTCGATGGCTAAAACGAAATCAATCGCCTGAAAAGGGAAAACAGTATTGTTCATCTTCTAACCAGAGTGAGCTGCAAAGCCACTGGATCGTTGGTGATTTAGGAAGCTGTTTTGATTCAAATAATCAGCCTTCTTATTAGGATGGAGACGAGTAGCAGGTTTTTCAGGCTTTACTTGCTGCAGCATTGCTCCACCTAGAGAGAGTTTTCTATCACTGGCACCGACTGTCGACATTCTCGGAGCCTTCGTTCCGCTTATTGATGGGCTGGGTTTTGAGCCATAAAGTGCTTCCTGCTCTGCTATCAGCTGTCCGTGAAGTTTCTTTTGGTCCTGAAACACAAAAATTCAAGCACTGGTTAAGATGAGAAACTTGTTACCATCAAACTAAGGCCTAAAAGATTAATCGAATCACAGCACATACTCTCTGCCTCTGCCTCTCTAGGTCTTTCTCTTGCCTTAGGTTGCTGTAGTCCTCGAGCACAGAAAGAAGTCGTCTCTAAATACAATTAAAAATATCATCATACGATTACTTAGAAGAAAGCAATTACTAGAAAAACAGAAAAATGGCAATTGGCTATAACAAGTATTTAAAGAAAAAACAACGCCATGGCATCTTAACTTTGAGCAAATCAAGTATTAAGCCAAAGTGCACAACTTATATAAGATTTGACCAAATCAATTTTTGATTTGATGCATAGTCTTGTCCCAAAATTTAATAGTATTTAGGAAAAGTGCTTACTCCATCATACAAAAACTCATTTCCTCTCTCTTTCTCCCAAGCTGTGGTTTTTAAAGTTAAAACCTCCACCATTGCTGCACCAAAGCCAACCAAAACAAAAATAAATAAATAAATAGTAACATAGATCAGTTTTAAAGACGTGAACACATTACCAGGCCAGTATTTAAACCCAACACAAAACCTTTGGACAATCAAGAATTTCTTTTAGATCCTTCACTGCTATATAGCTGGTTTGCTGCATACACTTGTGGCAGAGAAAATGAGTTTGGTGGAGAAATTTACCAGGAATTTTGTTAACAACTACTCGAGCTTTCTCAGCACGTTTCAGACTGAGGTGTGCACCTCTTCCGGCATTATAACGGTTGTCATCCTAAAGTTTGGACAATATGAAAGTCCTCAACCTAGGTGTAAAAAACAGGACTGTATATTATTCACAAAAACAAGGTAAGTTTGATTCCAACCCTATTGTACTCTTCCAGCCAGCTTTCTTCTTCACATGCCACCAACCACTTTTCCACCTTCTCGAGTATTTCTTTACGACTGAAAGCTTCCTCTCTAACCTTTGAAATCTGAAGGTCAATTTGTTCCAACAGGTACAGAGGATCAATGGCACCTGAAAAACAATTCAGATAAATAACAAAGAGAGTATTCGTGAATCATGGCCCTTTCATGCAAAGTTCATTTAGAATTAAATCAAAAGACATTCCTCAAAAATTGGAAATCCAAGTATAACAAAAAATGCATCCTCTTGCGCATCTATTATTCAGAATCTCCAGTAACCCATTAATCATTCTGTTGAAAAGTCACGAGACAGGATAACAGAAGTAAATTTCTTCACATTGTACAAATGATAGAACAAGCAATGGTTTGTGCTCAGGTATTTACCAGACTCCATAGCTTCAATCGAATAATCTGTTGAAATAAGCGCTTCCAATACCATGTGAGTCCTTCTGCACATATCCTCTAATTCGACCTTCTTTTTCAGAACAATTTCCTTCATTTTACTTGTTTTGAGCTGCTCCAGCCTAGAAACTTCCTCCTCAACCTACACAAAATCGCTCATACAATTCATTCCCCATATAATTAGCAGTAAAAGTCAACAAGTACAATTGAGAAGGACTAAAAAATCATGAGTCTAAAATAGTGTTCTAACATTTTTAATACAGTCAATGGAGAGCATATTGGCCTCCGTAATTTCTGGTTCAGAAGCTGCAATTTTACTGGTAACATTCAGAAACATGCGTTGTTCCTCTGCCGGTGTGTCCATCAAATGCCAAAGCTCCAACAAGGCAGATGCAAGATCTTGAATCTGGTAAAGTGGCTCAAAGGATCAGAAGTACCAAGCAGAAACAAATGTTCAAGGTATTAAAACATGAAAATGAAAAGGTAACTATATTATACTAGTACTAACCTTCTGCATTCTCTTTATCTTTAGCTCTTGCAGACTTTGAATTTGAGCAGCCAACCTAGCAATTGTATTGTTACTTACATCTTTTGCTCCATTAGAATCATCCAAGGTAGCGTGGATCCTACAAACTGTTTGTAGGAAATCCATACCAAGAACTGTGCACAGTGAGTTTATAGTATTTAGGTGGCCTTGCACCTGGTTTAAACGATTGATCTGCAAGTGATGTTGAGTGAAATTAGTAAAAGATCGCATAATTTCGATAGTACCGCCCATGTAACTGCAGAAAATCCTACACTACATGTGACTTGTCAGCGATCTAGATGCACTAATGCTAAGCTCTCAATTATCAAGACTACTGCTGGTGTTGTCACCATAAAGGAATAAATGAATCATAATGGATACCTACCTTCTCATTTTGAAGTTCATGCAACTCCCTGTGTAATTCTTCTAGTCTTCTTAGAGACAGGTTGGTGTCGTCAACGAGCAACTTATTTCCATCTTGTTCTTTAAACCCCAAAATCTCGTTAGATATTTTCTGTATTTGATCTATAACTCCAATAAACTGGTTAATTCTTTCCACATTCTTCCTACGCATGTCCTCCAACAACGGACCAATGGCTTCAAGCTCTTCCTTCAAGTTCCCCCCAGGCTTCAAGTCACGCTGAATATATATACCCAATAACACAAAATTACTCACTAAATTCAAATTAACTAATACAAATATGTTGACTGTTGAGCATCTATAGGCTCATCTATTGATTGCAATACTAATTAACCGCACTTACATGCACTGGGTTCTCCCCGATGGAAGCACAGATATCTGAAATTTCCGCCTTGGCAATTGCAATATCTCGTTGCAATTTAGTTCTGCATTCTTTTGCCTCGTCTACTTTTCTCATGTAGACCTTGAGGCATTCTTGTTCGAGATCTAAAAGCATTGCATCCCGTTCGCCATCAGCCTCCCCAACTTCATCCCATATTTTCTGTTACAAATAAAGCGAAGATAACATTCAAAATATGTTATGTCAAACGAAGACGCAACAGTAGATATGCTTTGAGAGATCTCTAGGAGAACCTGCAATTCACATAGCAACGACCCGCACGTTGTTTCAATGCGCGCAAACTGCTCACTTTTATGATTTAACATGGAGTCGGCAGTATTCTGCAGCAAGAAGCGGCCTTTTTAGTCTCACAAAGAAGAACAAAAATCGCAGTATGAAGCGATATAGCGAAAATTTCCAACAATTCGAAATGGAAACAAAAAACCTAAATAAATTGTTTACATACATTTCTTTCCTTATTCTATATTCTGCAGATTTATCATTTCTTTCTCGAAAAAAAGACTAAAAAAAATGAAATCCTTGATCCCTCTACTCAATTATCAATCGAGTAATAAAATGCATCACTTTAAAACAATCGTTCTTCACTTTTTCTTTCATTTTCTCGTCAACCAAACGGACGCCATGATAATTAAGCTAAAATTGAACAGAGAAACAAGTAAACTTAGATTCGACGCAAAAGCAAACCTGAAAATTACCGTGAACTTTCGATATTGCAAGTGTTCTTGCTCAGTACCGTGCGAAGGTGATCGACGATTGGAGATCCTATCGCAGATGATGATTGGATTTGATTAAATCAAGAATTTCTGGTGAGCGGTGACCCTAAAAGAGAATGTAACGCTTGAATTTTGAGTGAGAGATTATGAGAGGGAAAAGACGGGCGCGGAAAGGGAGCCGTTATGTTGGGGGTTAGGAATATAAGTATTCAAAACTTGATGCTGACACGTCATTGGATTAGGTGGGGCCGACCTAGGCGTTTGCGAAATCAGGGGGCGCGAACAATTCTTTTGTGAAACCTTTTGCTTTTTCGACGGTGGGGATCGGACTTGTGGGTCCAACGACCCATAAAGACGTTTTTGAATTTCGAAATGCGGGATAGGTGTAATTTGCAAATCGAAATCTTCTTCTCACGTAAAGCAAATTGATGAGAAAAAGGGCGTGTCCATAAAACAATTAAAAATAGTCAAAGAAGGTCCAGCGCCTTTCAAACTAGAAAGAGCGGAAAAATAACTATCACTCGTGCTCACATCTGGGCGGAGGCACCGTAAGGTCCAAAACCTTCCCATTCTAATACATTGGGCCTGGCTGGAAACAATTACTAGGGTTGGTAATTTTCAAAAATCACTTTTAATTATTTTTAATTAAGTATAATAACTTTTCAAAAAAAAAGACAATAAAAATATAAAAAAAAAAACTCAAATTAACATATAAATCCAGTGGCTTGGTTTCACAAGTGAGAAATATTCAACTTAATTTGTATTTAGAAAATCTAAGGTAAAAAAATAAATAAATAAATTTACCTTTCAAATTAATTAATAGAGATTTGAATCACACATTTAAATTAAATTTATGATTTAAATTTTCAAAATTTTCCTCGACCCTCTTTCTTCCTTCCCGTCACCTTTGTCAATCTCTCTCAAAGATATTCTCTTACGTTGTAAATTGGTGCAATTAGGCAAGTACGATTTAATTGGTGAGGAATACATATGTTCCAAGGAGCATTATTCAATTTATCTATTTTTGTTTAAATGGTTCCTAAGCAATAAGGGGAAAAATAGTATGTGATTTTTTTTCTATCTTGACATGGACAATACATTTTGCAATTTGTATTAGTAATGCACGCTTCTCCTTAGGAGTTATTATGCCATTATTACCTAAGAAAAAAAATAAAACATGTATCACAAATTACAATAATACGTGACATTAGTGAAGTTAGTTTAATTGAACCAAACTTTTATCATTTTGGAAAAGTTTAATGGCATTAAGTTATAGCCTTAGTTGTTGTATGTGAAACCCCAACCCTTAACTAAAGGTTGAAAACATATTTAGATTGGTGTGCATGTAAATTTGTGATTTTCAATGACATTTACAAACGTTTACAACCTAGAAAAGTAATGATTTGATAGCAAAAGAAGCTTATTTGAAAAGTGGGACTTAGAAAGGGTATAAAGACTTTGATTTAAATTAAAAATTACATTATAGACCAAAAGTATTGATAGCTGCTCATAGGTATTGATATTTGCAACCCATAAATTCATCTGTTGATTAACGTATCGATACTCGATAAGCATGTAAACCCATAACAAAAACATTGATATTTACCCTAAAAGCATCAATACCTCAATTGTAGATTTTAGAAAAAAAAATAAAGGCAATAAAACCTTTTCATTAATATTTAAAATCATAAAACTTTAAAATTTTCCCAAAATGGTAAAAACATTTTCTTTCTCTAGTCTTGGCCTTTCTTTTTCTCTCTTCCCTCTCAACGCTTTGTCATCACTTACCATTATTTCAAACATTTGAAAATCATACCCAAGTGCAAATTTTGATTCTAAAGGTTTTGAAGATATGGTTTCCTCATTCTAGACATCTAAACTTCTAGTTTTGATTTTCAAAACTTATGGGTTCTAAGAAATTCGTTTTACTATCCAAAACTTATGTTTTTTTGAGTGATTTTAGTACTCTTAAGCTCACCAAGATAAAATTACTCAAATCCCTAACTAATTGTAGTGTAACACATAATTAGGTTAGATTTTAAGCTATTGATTTTCACATTAGAGGCCAAGTAATGAAGTTAATGAATGGGTGAAGGGTATGCTTAAAAAACAACGTATTAATAGTAGATTTATCACGGATAAGTGTTGTTGAAGAAGTTGGTGTTGTGAAAAGGTCGAGTCTTTGTCAAAAAGTGCTAAAGGATAAAGCACACTTAGAGTAGGTGAGTGGTTATAGTGTTCTTAAGGTATTTTGATATATAAATACAAAAAAATGTTTGGAATAGCATCAGAAATCCTTTTGATGAAATCATGAAATGTTGGAATGAATGATGATTGCTACCATGTTTTAAATATGGTTTTGAAAATGCATATGATATAGAAGTATACCTATACATGTATAAAAATGGCTTGTGGGGAACAAACCTTTCAATGCTTTTGCCCTTCAAAATGTGAATCGAGTTTGGGATAGTGAATGATGCTTGAGTTACATGCCTTTGCATGTTTTGAGAACTTGATAATTGAATTACATGCCTTTTAACATGTTTTGAACTTTTGATTATTTGACTTGTGAACTAAAATATGAATTATATGAATTGTAATTGGAATCACATACTCTTAGTATGTTTTGAATGGTAATCTTGTGGCTTATGAGTTTTAGCATATCATGAGTGCATCATCATTACGACTTACATGTTCATAACATGTTTTGAATATCAGCATCTAACATGTCCCTAACATATTTGGATGGGTCACACACCCTTGATGTGTTTCGAATATTGTTATGGGTTACATATCTCTAACCTGTTCTGTTACATATCTCGTCACATTTTATACATGCCATTGCATGTTTGGATCAAGTGTTACAACATGTTTCGAAAGCATCATTAAATAAGCATGTCACATAATGCATAGACCATAAAGCATGAATTGTGATTGGTTCAATCTTATTGTATAATATGGGATGTTTGGTTAATGATACATGTGTGGTGTAAATGGTTCGAGGACCTAATGTTGAGCATGTGTTTTAGCTAAATGATGCTTGGAATTGGATTAGTTAGTCAACAGTTGGATATAAATGAGAAAGTATCAATAACTATTACAAAAGTTTTGATTCTGCTTTCACTGAATACTTAGGCAAAGCATTATGGATTGAAAATATTGATATCTTTACCCAAGGTAACAACACCTTAAAGAGAGAAAACATTCTATTGAAGAAGCATCGATACCTTTGGCAAAGGTATTGATACCTTGGCTGTAAATTTGACATTTTCACCCAAAGTCAAGGGGTTTAGAGTTTGTAAATAATTGATTTATTTCTCTTAACATTTGAGAGCTTTTGTTGAACTATGATAATGTCCCAAGGTATAAGAATGCTATGGTTGATTGAGTATTAGTTTGAAGAAGTGTGCATATTTGATTAAAATTGTGTTTGCAAATACTTCTCAATTTAGTTTGTTCCCCTTTCCTATTTTTGCTCATTGAGATTTTATATTTCACCACATGCAAATTCTATTTCGTTTTAGATTAGTATATCTTTGGTTGACTTTTTTGAAGACATTGAAGTTCTTAGTTGGTTACGCTTTCCCTCTTATGTTATCCTGTTCGTTGAGTCGTCAATTGTGTGGTTTTATACTTAAAAATAATGCTTAATGTTTGACTAATGTATGACTTGAGATTTTATTTATGTTACATTATACAAATTTAATTGATAATTACATACAATGAAAGTGGATTGTTTTGAAATGTTGAATGTCACTCATAGGATGTACTTGGGTTAATTACTAATATGTTGAAATACGTTTTCTATATTTTGATTAAATTTATGAAATAAATGATTATTTAAAAAGTTGTTTGGGTCTAGTGGACCATACACATCTAAATCTGTGCACTGATCATGTCTCTTAAATCGAAATGTGACATTTATATATATATATATATTAAGAAACCCATAGTTAATCTTATATGGTAGTCTATTCACCTATAAATCTTTTTTCTTTTTTGATTTTCATGCATATTAAGAAATTTGATTTTCGTATAATTCCTTTTATAAGTTCAAAAGGTTTTTATAATATTGATGGACAATATTTTTGATTGTCAGCAAATAAAAAAATGAAAATTCAATTTGAATATAAAAAAAATATTATGTGTTTAAAAATAAAAAAACATATATTCAAAACTTTTTTTAAGAAAAAAAAAAGAAAACTAACATAGCAATAGGGATGTGTCCTATTATTTGTCGTGATAAAGAGATTTAATAATATAGAGAAAATGTAAATTTAGATCATTATTTTTTCCGTAAATTTCAAGAACTTATTTGTATGATAACATGAGGAATACTTTAATTTATTCCCTTTGATAGAGAATACAAAAATTAGACTCAAAGAAAATTGAAGTCATAATTTTGATAATTTAGTTTATTATCTTCTCCTTCCTAATCTTTAGAATCTAAACTCATGATTAAGGTTTCTATATGAGTTTTGACATATTTTAAATGAAATTACGTTAATCATGAGTAATTACAATCATAATTAAATAATTTTTCATATATATAAAATAAACAAAATAAACAAATCAATCTAATCATTAGAAGGTTGTATAAATCTATACACCAAAAACATCTAAATACAAAGATTTAAAAAAATTTTAAACTTTTTTTGTCACTTGAAACACGAAAATGATATATAATTACTATTTTTACTATCCATAATAAGAATAAAGATTTTGATAATCAACTTACCTTATTTAAACTTTTTTTTTCTTCCCTTTTCCGCGACTGATCGTTGATTCATCATACTATTAATTGAAAAAAAAAGGCATGAAATTTTATATTATTTGTATTTTATACGCATGCATAAGTGAATAAAAATCAACATTAATCAAGTATAGAATTTAATTAATTGGGAGGCGGAGGGCGTTAATAATCCGACGTGGCATCAACCTTTGTGATTCTAACTTCTAACAACCAACATTGTCGAAAGTGCATCCAATCAAAATCCGGTCTTTCCAATTTAAAGGAAAAAAAAAAGAATTGTAGAATACAAAGAACGGAGCACGCTGCAGAAACAAAACAAGGGCCAAGACAAAAAAATAAATAAAATAAAATCAAAAATTCGGAAAATTTAAATGGGAGGAGAAAGAGAGTAAAGGCAAAGATTAGACT